GGCTGATTTGTGTAAACTTTGGGACAGTCTCACTGTAAATAACTCCTTATTGAGAAATGCAGAATCTTTATTGATAATATTCTGAGACCTTTTGTGCGATCTATCTCGTCTTATACTAAGGATGCTCAGTATGGTAATGAGATTTCTATAGTTACCAACCTTGGTGCATTATATTTAACAAACCTAAGAAAAGTTCTATAACAATATTCCATAATAGCTCCAACTCATAATTCTCAAAAGTGTTCAGAAAGGTCCTCCTAGTTTTATGGGAATTTGTCCTGGTTCATACCATTAGAAGATCCGTGGTTGAGATATAAGTTGTCTATAACCCCAAAAGTCACCTTCACGAGAGCTATGAATCTCAATAATTTATTGGCACCTACGTAATTATAACCTTTCTATGACCTTGACGGTAGCTCCAGCATCTGGGGTAAGATAGCTACCTCAGAGAGGTGACTTGTAGGATAGGTCTTGCCACTGTTTACCATTAGGAGTCTGTGGGAACCGCATTTATATGAGATTTTTTTTTGTTCTACGAGAGATTGAGTAACCTGCCAAAAAGACTGTCTCCACGAGATAGTATAAATCGATAAAAAAGAATGCGGATATATCAATAAAAAGTAACCTGACATGTAGAGTTCCCACATAAATGTAATCGGAACGTTGCTTAGTCATTTTTGGGGTGAGGAATGTTCTGTTAAAAAAACATAATGCAAAGCAACATAGTGTATAACTGTGTTAACAAAGTGCCAAAGATGTGTCTCCCAACTGGTCAAGTTGTAACCTCGCTTTGTATAAATTATCCCATTCAGGGATTAGACATCCTTTCCTCCAAATGACCAGCAGTGATAGTAAGTCCACTCAAGAAAATAAATTGAAATTGTATTACAAATAGGCAATATGATATAAAACAATTTATTAACTTACATATGAGTTTAAAACAGCAGATGTAATAATACTGAGTCACCACTAGGCATCTCACGCGTTTCGACCGGTTTAGGGACTTCCTCAGGGTCTTAGCTTCTCCAGTAACAGAATGCAAAATGAGGATACTCATGGGTAACAAGATACCCTTCTGTGTGGCAATTTGCCCCTGGATCAGCATGAACAAAGCAAGTCACATGCTGGTTTAGGTTTAGAGCACTAGACTTCTTTATTTTGCAAATTACTGGCAGCAATTAAAATAAACCTTAAAACAGTAAAATCTTCCTCCACAATGTTTACTAATCAATAAAAAGAGAGCTAACTGCAGTTGGGCGTCTGGCCCACTTTCCAAGTGGTTACTATTATCCTTTAATTCTCTCTGCCCATCACCTTCAGAACCCACCTGCTACCTCGTGTCTCAACTCTACATTTTAACTTTTAGATTGTAAGCTTGTGAGCTATCTAGCAAAGTACTTTGTATGAACAAGCTTTAATAGCTGGTGGTGAGCTCACAACAGGCCCTCTTTAACATCTGTATTTGTCTTTGTAAAATATATTCTCTTTTTCCCCAATTGTACAGCAAAACTGAACATGTTAGCACTTTATCCATGGCAGTTATAATACTAATAATGATTGCCAATTAATTACTGGAGGTGTAGACTTGCAGATTGCGAGGAAATCTCTGTCGTATCTAAAATTTGGAGTGGATTATTAACCTAATTTCCTAATTTGAATATTCAAATTGCACAAATCAATGCATTTCAGGTTGACCAAAAGAGAGTCGTCATATCCCCAAATCAAAGAGATTAGAAATCTGGATGAAAATAATTTTTTTTTACTCAAAGGTAATAAACCTGTAAGTGCAATATAAGTATAATTATTAAATAAAAAAGCAGAAAATTAACGGAACATGTCTTTGTCTCTGGCATTGTGTGCCTGTGTCTGAGTGTTCTTGCATGTGAGCATGTGTATGGCTGTGTCTGTGAGCCTAGATGTGTGTTGTATTTATGGTGAGTTTGTTTCATGTTTGTGAGGTGACTGGATGACAATGACTATCTCCAGGAGGTGACTGGGATAGGCTTTATAGGAGGGCTGGTGTGACACGGTACGAGCCATGAGTGTGACAGGGAGAGAGTGGGTGGGTTGTCAGGGTGAGTTAGTGCAACAGAGTTAGTGGGGTAAATGTGATAGGGTGAGTGTAGATAGTGGGTGAGAATTACATAATTGGGGGAGTGAATGTGACAAGGTACAGTGGGTGGCATGGTGAGTGCACGGGTGACAATGTATGGGGGCTGAGTGTGTGTGGGGAGTGATATTATGTAGGGAGGCTGTGTTAAACCCAATCTCCAAACATTGTAACAACTTTTATTTATATAAAATGTGCCCCCTTCCCCTTGCCTTCTGGGCAAGAAGGGGACAAAAATACGTTTCCTGGTGGTTCGGTGGAGTCCAGGTGAATGTCGGTGATGGAGGGCATGGAGCAGACCACATTAATTGCTGCTGCTGATCCGACGTTCTTTGAGGAAGTCACCCCATTTTCAATGACACTAGGACAAGACATTACACACATCCAACTATAAGCCTGGAAAACATCTATATGTTCAAGACGAACTATTCTTAGTGATTGCATAATATATTTCACATGAACATCTTTAAACTCAACAGCTTTCTCACAAACTTCCATTTGGTTTTACAAGTATAACAAGATACACGTGTCATACCTCTTCTTCCTCCTGACACATTGAACTTCCTCTTGTGGTTTTAGAACCAACTTCCATCTAAATTCTAAGTACAGTTTAAGTTTAAGCACAGTTCTATGCACCTATAATTTTTGTTAATATTAATTTAGTTGTAAGTTATTTATTCTCTTATACATATTTAATCTTTGATACCCCCGTTTTAGGACTATAATACACTTCAGATTATGTTTGCGCTATATACAGGTGATACTTGAAAAATTAAAATATCGTGCAAAAGTTAATTTATTTCAGTAATGCAACGTAAAAGGGGAAACTAATATATGAGATAGACACACTTAAATTGATAATATATACAAACAAGTGAATAGAAACAATGCTTAATGGTTCTCCTGTTATAACTTCATGTTAACCATAGGAGTCCCTGACCATGATGTTAGATAGCTGTACTTGGATATTCCCAAAAGTTTTTTATCCTAAGATAAATCGGATAAGTGGGAGCAAAAAGTAGGAAACCAAAAAATGTCCAAGGTTCCTTTCAGAAAAAAGTCAAAAAAAGGGAAAAAAAAGAAAAGAAAAAAAGGAAAAAAAGAAGAAAAAGAAAAAAGATAAAAAATATGTATAAACAGTCCCAGTGTGTACACACTGTAGTATATGGGTGGATCTCACCGGTGGAAGAAAAAGGTTCTGTAGTCCAGTGTCTTTTAATGTAGAGGTAACTCCTCTGTCATTGTGAAAACCTCTTTTTCTTCTTTCCTTCCTCCTTTGCCGGTAATATGTGTAGTGTGTTTCCTCACTTGCTCCTCATTAATCCCGGAGGTTCCAGGATACGTCCGGGTGTGTATCTTGCCAGCTGGATCTCCTGTGAGTGCTGGTGCAGGGGCTCCTGTGTGGGCTGCGCGCTCGGGATATGAATATCCATCACAGCCCTTATCCCCCCATTAAAGTCCCTATCCCCTCTACGCCCTCTGCAGCCTCTATTCATGCTGCACCCACAGCAGCTCCTATGCCCCCTAATAGCCACTACTACCTCTATCCTCCATGTTTCTATTGAAGCCCTTATTACACTGCACCTATCCCCCAACATCCACTATAGCCCCTATGCATCCTATGCCCATTACAGCCCCATGTCTACTGCACCCACTGCCTCTAACACCCATGTATGTACTAAAGCCCCCATTACCACCTGCACCCACTAAAGCCCCTACCCCCTGCACTTACTACAGCCCTTATGCCTCTTATACCCACGACAGCCCCTAATACCCCTGCACCTACCACAGCTTCAATACCCCTTTTACTGCCCCACCTCCACTATAACTTAGGTGACTACTACCACTATGATTTAATAGTGTAAATTATTAGTGCCCCCCAGTTTTGACTGTGGTATCTTATGTGCTCCCCATATATTGTTCCTAGAGTGGCCTATTACAGAAAGGTCTATTACATTGTCTTTAACCCTGGAATCAGACATCATTGTTCACATATGGAGGCAGACATGCATGACGTGTGCCCTGGAGACAACTATTTATTTTAAAAAAAAAAATCTTACTTAGAGCAAACAAGTGGCTTGACATTGTAACTCACCCTCAGTTACTGGGTAAATGGTTTAATCACTACTCATCAAATTGTACTGAATTGGGAACATTCAGAAAAACAGAGAATAATTGCACTATTTCAGCCTACACTTTGACATTTCATTTTTAATTCAGCGCAGTTTAGTTTATAGTGAATAAACCCGACTTCTAATGTGACCTGAGCTACGAAAAAATATTCTCTCTAGTAAGTGTACGTGTGTTTGTATATTATGGCCACATGCCATAAACAACATATTTGTAGGTTATTTATATCCACCGAAATGGACCTAAGGAATGAATACCTCACTAATACTAAAAAAATCAATGTGTCACTGATACTACACATTGTCAGCTATTTACAGTATTTATAATAATAATGGTGGTGGGGTCTCTGAAAACTAGATTACTACCTGGACCATAATTGAATTAACTGAAATAAACTCTAAATTCTCATTTTCATATTATCCATTAATTATTATAATTATTATTATTATTTATTATTATTATTATTATGCATGACACACAATAAACTCTAAATTCTCATTTTCATATTATCCACCTATTATAATTATTATTATTAGTAGTAGTATTATTATGCATGACACAAATGCTATTCGACCAGTTCCAGCAGGCAAGAGGTTAACCCATCAATGTGCTGTTTAAAAGGCTGCTTGTCTGGAGCTGTCCAGCGTGCCAGGATGCTGCCAGGTCTCGACCAATCAGCGATCAGCTAGAACTGAGAAGGGACGGATGGAACCTTGGTGTAGAATCTCTCTCTCGCCCTCCCTCCCTCCTTCCTCTCTACGTCTTCCTGTATCCTCCATTGCACATTCACAATAGATGATGCATCAGCTGGTAACATTGTAGCAGCACTCATCTAACAGCACTGGGTACCAATGCTGGGAGGAAGACTGATTTTTTTTTTTTTTTCTGTTTTGAGGTTGCTCAATCAAACCAAGGGATGAGGGGTCCTTGCATCTCTGGTGGCTTGTCATTGTGTGCTGACTGTCTGGGTCTTCCTATGGTTTAAATGAAATGCTGATGGAGAGGTTCACCTGTCTGATTTGGACAGAGCTGCAAGACTTTCCTGTATGATCTCAACGTGAGGTTGTTTTTTTTTTGTTTTTTTGCCAATCCAGCCTGCTAAAATCTGTGTGGAGTAGGTAGGTACATTGCTAACAGTGATCCTGTCAATAAATAAATGGTCATTTTATATATATATATAAAGCCATTGTCACAGTATGTGGCTAAACCCAGCCTGTTTAACCATGTGACATACTCAGGGCCTTGGGTTATGTAAAAGGAGGCAGTAGAAGTAGAGAACAAGGGCATTAGTGAATGTCTCACTACTCAAAATGCCATTTATTTTCCATTTTTATAAATATCACATTTTAGCTATTTTTTCCTGCGATGTTCTTAAAAATTGTATCAGTTTGCCTTAATATGGTTAGTCTAAGGATTGGGGGTTGTTTCACTACTGATTTCTCTGCATATCTTTATAATTGGTCATAAATGTGAAATAAAAAAAAATAACAGGTTAAAAAGATGTAATTGCAGAATACAGACACCAAACTCTATGTAAGCCATTTTATCATGCAGTTGTTTTAATCTATGACATGCTAAATGTCCTCCTGTGTGTGTACTGTGAATATATTGTATATATTTGTACTCCCACACACATTAGATTAAACAGATATACCTGGTCCTTGACACCTCATTCCTGTCAGCCCAAAATTGAATGTTGTCACCCACGGTTTGTTTACCCAAACTGCGGAAAGTTTGGCAATAAACTAACAATAATTCCTGTAAAAAAGAAATGAGTTTACATTTTAAATACATAGAATAAAACACTCTTATAAAATATACATTTCCTGTCTCTGGATGACAGCAGTTAATGGAAGAAAACACCTTTTATTAGTTTATAACTGGGACCTACCTTGTGTTTCAGTATTTACAGGCTTACCTCTATTAAATGGGGACATTTTGTTTTCTTTTATATCCATTAAGGTTATAAATCTGAACACTTTACTCAAAGGGAAAATCACTCTCTTCACTTTACTCAAAGGGAAAATCAGACATCTGTCTGTCTGTCCTTCCGTCTGTCTGTCTATTCATGTCTGTCTGTCTGTCCGTCCGTCTGTCCGTCTATCTCTCTGTCTGTCTGCCTGTCTGTCTGTCAATTCACCTATCTGTCTGTCCTTCCATCTGTCTGTCTATTCATGTCCGTCTGTTCGTCTATCTCTCTGTCTGTCTGTTTGTGTATTCTGCTTGGAGCTCTCTCTCACGCTTCTTAACTCTGTTAGTTTCTCACTGTTTTTATTTTGTCATAGCCTGTCACAGTTTTCTCTAGGTCTGACTCATTCTTTTTCAATCTTGTCTCTCTGAAATAGTCTTGAATTTTTTTTAGAACCTTATTCAATACCACATACAATGTTGAACAACCTAAATATATATCCATAGAGGCATAGAGGGCAGATGGAACAGAGGAGATTATTTATTAAAATAAAAATTCAAAGGAAATTTCAGATTTAAAGGGACACTATTGTCTCCAGAATCCTTACAACTTAAAGGAACATAATAGTGTTAGGAATACAGGTGTGTATTCCTAGCTACAGTGCCCTGGTCACTATTTAGGTGACCATACCCCCCTCCCGCAAGAGTTACCTTGTTTCCCACGCCATGTTGCTCTGTCTGTGACTGGTCCCGCCTCATTGGCTGAGGTCATCATTGAGATTAAGTGGTCTGGGGGACTGTAGTGTTCCGTTATAGTAGTAGTTCTTTAGCATTTCACAGCAAGATCAGCAATGTAAACACTACTTTTTTAGAGAAAAGGCAGTGTTTACATTGCTGCATAGTAACACCTACGTTCATCGGGGCGCACCCCATAGAGAAGCATGGATTCAATTTATGTCTATGAAGAGATGCTGATTGACGCAGTGCAACATTCTGCTGTGCATGCGCAATAGCCTTCCTATGATTTCCTATAGGAAAACTTTGCAAACCTCCCAATATTTCAAACGGACAAAAAGGGACGCTTTAATTTTAGAGGTGTGACTGGGAGTGTCGCAAGGGTCGGGGCTCTTCTGAGACATATTAGGTGACTTATTAATAACAAAGTTTGCAACTAAAATGTAATTTAGAAAAAGAATGTGTCTTTTTAACATTGATTCATTCTAGAAAAATGTATTGTAGTCTAAAGACACATTTGCTGTAAATATTATTGCTGTGGAGCCCTGTTATACACTTAGACACACCAACAATATATAGAGTGAGACATTAGGATAGAAAAGAGAGACGGGGGATCTGAGGAAGATATTAATTAGAGTGGCTGAGATCAACAAGAGACAGAATCAGAAAAAAGCAGAGGTAAACTGAATAAAGTATGACTAGGTGTGACTTCAAAGTGAATTTCAAATTCTAGACTTCTATTCATAGCTAAAGTGGATTTTTTTTTCTTTTTACATATTTAGGGCTAGAGTGTGAAATTCACTGTGAATGCCTGATAATTCGCACTTTGGTGAATAAGACTGCGAGACACATACCTCCTACCTAGACCTTGTCCTGATTTGAAGGTTTATGTCCCTCTGCCCTGCTTTGGTTCTTCTGCACCCAATTCTAGCTACACCACATACCAAGTCCCCAGGAAAGGCAGCACATGAAACTTTAATGAGTTTTTTTGCCTGAGCGTTGCTACCTTTGGACATTTTTCCCAATTCATCCTATTCCCTCCAGTCACACTTACATACATTGCAGTGCTAGGATTATAGAGAATACTAGTGGGAAAAAAGACCCAAAGAGAGTGCGAGACAACAATATGAAGGAACAGAGACTGAGAGAAGGAGATAATATTTTCACAGCCTGCTGTGTTCCATAATATCTCTGGGTCATTTTCTGCATTCCTCTGTCATCCTCTTTGTCTGTTCTGTTATATTTTTCCATCTCTGGGTTTCTCTCTTGGCCTTTCAGTTATGGCACCTCTCCATCACAGACTATTTCTAACTTGATCAATGTCTCTCTTGCGTTGCCTGCGTGTCTTTTTTTCCCACCTTTTGCCTTACATATAGAATCGAGAAGGGGAATTCTCAGCACTCTCACTCCTTCAATGAGTAGAGGACGACTGGAACCATAGTCCCGACCCTCGGGTGTCTCTGGCATCTCTGCTGTATCAGTAAAGCTAGGTACTCAGTACCACCATTCAGATCTCAGTAGTTACATGTTTTTGCTACAATCAGTTCCTATAGAATTGATACAGAAGTCTAGAGGATCAAATCTGGTCTATGGTTCTTGTGTTTGACATTCCAATACGATTCCTTATAGTTCTTTGTCTTATTTCCATTGTTTGTTCATGTATATTGAATGTGTTGCTTCTCTATGTCAGTAGTCAGTCTGGCAAATGGACGGCCATAGATCTAAACAAAGCATAATTTCATACACATAGCCTTTTAAATCATCTGGGTTCTCACAACCTACAGCAGTTTACGTATATTTCTGGTCACATTTTTGTGATTGGAACTGTGTCCACTGAATGCCATGCCTAGTGACCATGTATGTTCACTGCCATGGATTGGGCTCTCTATGGGAAATTAAACACAATCTCACTAAATCTACACCCTGACAGTATATAGGTCAAGACCACCAAAACCACAGTACTAGGCCCTTCTCATCCACCATTATAGAGAAAATGAAGCTATTGTTACTCACGTTTTTGTTAGTTTCAAAAGTGTTGATAATGCACAAACCATGCAATAAAACCACCCTGGGAGTACAAGCCTTGACATTTTAGTATATACTAAGCCAATAGAGCACATGGCTCACTCCATCTTTGCGCAAGTTGTTTTAAAAAAAAATATGGTACCGTGCCTACACCATTGGAGAATTGTGATATTAATTCATTATTAGCAGCTATCTCTTCCAATCGATATCCCTGGATCAGAAGCATCCTAGTGAAGCACTTTCATCATGGAACTTTGATATAGGAACTTTGATGTTGTTATGGTGTCAGCTGATGTTCTAAGCCAATCAGCTCCCCATCCACAAAACATCTTGAGAAAAGTACATATTTTTCTCAAACCATGTTTATTGATGGTGAGCTACTGACTGGTTTAAGCAAGGTTACTTTTGACACTACAGATGCTGAAGACTACATCTCTCTAAATGCTCTTCAGCCATAATGCTGGGAAAGCATCAGGGCGGATGTGGTCCACAACATCTGGAGTGCTAAAGGTGACCTTGCACCTGGCTTAGAACATCAGCTGATGCTCTTAGCCAATCAGTGGTGCTCCTGTCCATAGAAGTACAATATTTCCTGTTTGAAGCAACTGGAGGCATGTTCTTGTACAAATATAAACATTGTAAATTCAAGGTATATGACCATTGACCATTGTATTTGTAGCATCTAGTGTATGTATATAAATAATTGTAATCATATGCCACAAAATATTTCTGCGTCTATGCTAACATTTCACACCCCCTCAGTAATATCGTAAAATAAATAAATTCATATAATTTTAATACTTTCTGTTTCCCCAATATTTCTTAAAGGATGATTAAATAAATGAATAATTAGACAAATATACATTTAAACCAAATTCAATTTTAGGTATCCCTGGACAACAGCCAATACAAAATCTTAACTATGCGTCTCAAATTTAAAAAAAAATGATTTGGAAATTTAAAGAAAGTGATGTTGGTGTAAGGGGTTAGGTTAGTGGATAGCTGAATTAAATTTTTTTGTTAAGTTCACTTTTGTAACTGAATTAATTATTTTGGATTTGAGGGAAATACATACTTTTATATAGCCTTCAATGTCATTTTGCTGTTTTTTGTGTGTGAGGTTTTTTATATTCATTTTTCATAAATTTGTATTTGGGTTAATCTCTTTAATCATAATTCATTTGAACATATGCCAGAAACAGAATTATACAGTCAAAGCCTAAAGGGCTTGGGGGGTGCGTGTCTCTTTGTAAAACCCTATTGGAACTATTAATGAGGTCAGCCCCTACATTCCACAATAAACCTGGAAAAATAAGTTTATTTACTTACCTTGAATCCAGTACCGGCAAAACTCCCAGCGCTTCCGCCCACACCTCCATCCAACCTTAGCAAGGACTGTTTTGCTGGCTCAGAACACGCAATCTGAGCCGGCAAGGGGAGGTAGGAAGGAAGTGAGGAGGGAGATTTGGAGGGAGGAAAGGTGGAAAATATAATTAACATAAAAACAAAACAAGCACTATTGAGGGCTTATAGAGGTGTGGAGGGCTCCACTCTGTGATGAAGAGAGGAAGGGGAGAAAAATAGTTCCTCTTGCAGACTCTGCCAGCATGCACACTGACAATGGACATATTTTGCACAGAATTGACGTTTGGAAATTAGTTCCCAGGCTGCCAAAGTCACGTGTGCTGGGTGGCTAACTATCCTGGGAAAGTTTAAGGAGACTTGACAAGTTTGGTGTCAAGAAACGTGAGTGGGCCTGACCTCGGTTCCACTGAACACCTTTGGGATGAATTGCAATGCTGATTGTGAGACAGACCTTCTTATCCAACATCAGTGCCTGGACCTCACAAATGCTTTTGATCCAAGATTTTGTGGGAGCAGTGGAGGCAACTCCATTTTAATGGCCATGGTTTTAGAATAAGATGTCCAACAATCTCATACAGGTGCCCATATTTTGGTAATAAGCCATAGTGCATAAATTGCCATTGTGCTCAGTCTGCCCTTTAAGCCATATTATTGTTTAAGCTGTATTAGGTCAAAGAAGGGTAGCCACAATGTGGATTTGCTAAACAAATCCAGGAAAACACTCATTATCAACCTTGGATGAATGCACACCAGGCACTCTTGTGTACTGACTTTCACACCCACACTTTGCTCATGGCCTCAATGTCCTGAGTGCATTTAGTTCAGCACAAGCACATTTATTGATGCTTTCACACTTCACTTCCTGAGGAGAATTCTTAGTTGTCCTCTGATGAGAGACACCAAGGAACAAGGATGGTGGGAGAGTGAAAACATGGATTGTGTTGTAGGATGGAAGATGGCATATATGCAATACAATAAAGTCATTTTTATTCACATAACAATCTCTGAACTTGTGTATGCCACAACCAATATGGAGAGCTATATACAGAATACATTGCTGGTTTGATTTATAAAAGGACTAGCCACGAGTCCCATAAACTGTCATAGAATGTCCTGAGTGCATTTAGCACTCAGCTATATACAGAATACATTGCTGGTTTGATTTATAAAAGGACTAGCCATGAGTCCCATAAACTGTCATAGAATGTCCTGAGTGCATTTAGTTCAGCACAAGTACATTTATTGATGCTTTCACACTTCACTTCCTGAGGAGAATTCTTAGTTGTCCTCAGATGAGAGACACCAAGGAACAAGGATGGTGGGAGAGTGAAAACATGGATCGTGTTGTAGGATGGAAGATGGCATATAAGCAATACAATAAAGTCATTTTTATTCACATAACAATCTCTGAACTTGTGTATGCCACAACCAATATGGAGAGCTGTATACAGAATACATTGCTGGTTTGATTTATAAAAGGACTAGCCACGAGTCCCATAAACTGTCATAGAATGTTAAGGTATCAATGTGTTCTTTCCCAGGAAATCTCATCTTCCAAATTTGAAATCTTCCGACCACCACCTACATAGGACAATGGGAACTACTGAAGCCACTCTCCGCATGGAGAATGTGGATGTGGAGGTGAAGGAGGAATGGCAAGACGAAGACTTCCCTAGGTATGCTCTCATTTAATATAGTATACTCAGCCGAGCAGCATAACTACAAATATCAAAAGGTAAATTAAAATGAAACAAAATAATTAACTTTGTAATACTAGCTGAGGCCTCGATTTAATACGCTTTCAAAATGTCTTAATACTGTTAGAAAGATTTACAAATAATGTACCTACAAAAATTCCCATAGACTTTAATGATAAATCACTTGGGAAGTTTTCTAGCAGTATTGAGTCATTTATTAAGTTGAGGCACAAATGTTTGCCACCCTGGGCACAGACCTTCTTGGCCGTTTCCCTTAATTCAGGTTATCTCTAGACTTGTGCAAAAAAAAATTTGGTGACGGTTTGTCAGCAAGTCCTGTTGACCCACATCAGAATGAATTGAACTGTCCTGAATTTCCCGGTGGAGTCTTATTTGATGAATAAGACTCCATAGGTAAACCCCAGGTGGATTGTTTTGTTCGGTTGTTGACTAAAAAATATTTGATTTGATTGAACCATCTCAAATTAATTTATGCACTAGTCTAGTAATTTCTACATGCTGGCAATGGTACTGGAAAAGTGCTGAGCAGACGTCTTAAAATACCTTACACATGGATGGTATGCCATTAGATCTGACTGGTTTAATTACCTTAGGCAGCATATAACTTCTACATACTCCTGGAAAGTATATTAATTATGGTTGTGTGCTGTATCAGTGGTATGAGAAATTTTGTATTCTGCCAATTTTAATTTTTGCCATTTAACATACCTCCCGACATTCGTCCTCTGGAAGTCGGGATTGGTGGGCGGAGTCCTTAGGTGGCATCGCCAGGGGCGCAAGTCTTGTCACTAGTGATGTCGCCCGAGCGTTTTGTGTCCAAAAGGGAGCAAGACCGCCACTTAACAGGCAGATTGGCCAGACCCCAGCCAACATACCATGTAGGAAGTGCTGCAAAAGCACTCCATGCATGGTCCTAGTGCCCGCTCACACTGTACTGCCCAGGAACAGCTTCCTGGTGTCTCCAGATGCATGGCACCAGGAAACTAAAGCGGGACAGCGGCACAACACCCCAAAATCAGGACTGTCCCTCTAAAGGCGGGACAGTTGGGAGGCATGCTTTAATCTCTAACTACTGGCTTATTCTGCTCCACTTTTTCTCCTCTTTTCTTCCTAAAGCCTTACTTCCTCAGATTTTCTCTTTAAACCATTTATCCATTCCTTCCATTCCCCCTACTCTTTTAGTGCTATTTTCCTTTTCAGATTATCAGGGATACCCACTAAAGCAAGAATTGTTGGGAATTCAAAGTACATTCAAATAATATTTTAAATTTAAGGCCAAAGCAGATGATCTGGAAACATAGGTGACTTGAACAATTCTTGCAGTTTGGCAATTTTGACCTTAAATTTGAAATTCACTTTGAACGCACTTTAATTCCCTGGCAATTCTTACTTTAGTGCAAAGCCCTGTTGTTTTCATCCTACATATGTGTATTTTTACACATCTGATCTGATAGACATTGGTGCAAAAGTAACCCTCGTTAAAATCATGTTTAACAAATACAAGACTCGAGACTTTGAGTTGCATTGCTCTAGTGGAATCGCATTACTGGGAAAAAAATGTGAATTCTTCACAGGCTCGGCTCCACAGCTGCAGTGAAACTGTTGTGCTCTCTGTCACAGAATAAGCCTGTGTCTAAGTAAGGAAAAGAGTCTATGAGATGGTCCCATGTTCATTCATAGTTTGAATTCACAAACGTGCAGCTGTGAGCCTCCATCTGCAGAGAAGGGATGTGGGTTCATCTCATACGGATAGAGCAAAGGGGATATACCAAACAGTGGAAGCTATTTCAACAATACAATCATTGTATGCTGTTTAAGATATATAAGGCATAAAATAATATATTTTTTTAAATCTAATGTTTATTGAGAAGTTTTCATTTAAAAAAATAAAAATAAAATAAATATATATATATAATGGGGGTACAGTAAGGAAAAGGGGGAGGTAGGGTACAAAAAATAAAGTCACCACTCAGTTCATGTTAGCTTATTATACATAACATAGAACAGAGAATCCTTGCCAAAAATAATATATTTTGACATTATTGTTATTGCCTAGAATTGAGTAGGAATTTCATTAGTAGGTTTGTGCTAAGGTGTTTATTAAAGGACCACTATAGTGCCAGGAAAACATACTCGTGCCCCCACCCTCAGTGTCCCCTCCCGCCGGGCTCTGGGGAAAGGAAGGGGTTAAAATCTTACCTTTCTCCAGCGCCGGGCGGGGAGCTTTCCTCCTCCTCTCTTCCTTCCAAGCGACGTCATCGGCTGAATGCGCATGGGCGGCAGGGAGCCGCGTGCGCATTCAGCCAGTTCATAGGAAAGCATTTACAATGCTTTCCTATGGACGCTGGCGTCTTCTCACTGGGATTTTCACAGTGAGAAGCACGCAAGCGCCTCTAGCGGCTGTCAATGAGACAGCCACTAGAGGCTCTAGAGGCTGGATTAACCCTCAGTGTAAACATAGCAGTTTCTCTGAAACTGCTATGTTTATAAAAAAAAGGGTTAACCCTAGCTGGACCAGGCACCCAGACCACTTCATTAAGCTGAAGTGGTCTGGGTGCCTATAGTGGTCCTTTAAGTACCTGAGCACCAAACTGTAGTGAATTGAAAATCGCTAAATTTAGGTAAAAACAATGGAAATATTCTGTCTTTCTTCTATACAGATTGTCTGTTTTACTTTCATTTAGCAGTTTGATTGTCAATTTACTGCAATTCAATGTTCAGGGGATAATAGAGTCCACATGTTGGAATGTTGGAATGATTCTAACCGTTTATATTAAACTCATTAGTGACTTTGACTGCACAGTAGTGATTGCCTTCATTGTGAGGTTACATTAAAGGGACTACATCCACGCAGGGCTGGAAATAAGGTAAGTTTTAAACTTTTATAGGGGGGCTGAGGTGGGCAAGCCACCTATATGGTGGGTTAAACACTATAGGGTCAGGAACACATGTTTGTGTTCCTGACCCTATAGTGATCCTTTAATAATGTTGGTTGTGGCTTATATCTCTGTCAGTGGCATTTTTGGATTTTTCTTGAATGTTTAGAAATATAAACATAAAAAGCTAAGAATAAAGGTGTTGTATAAATGACTTACTGTTGTCAGTGTTGCTATTATAATGCTGGTAAAGTGTTCATTACGTATTAAGATATAGTCTGCAGTCGGGCTTTTACAATTTAGAAAACCAATGGATGCAATCACCATTAAGCATTAAAAGGGCAGCGATGCTTAAACATAAGTTGATATTAGGGCAGGTTTAGAGAGATATATATGTATGTTTTCAAAAACCAAGGTAAGCGACATTATCCATGCATTACTTACCATGCAACTTCTAATCTCAGGGCAATGTCTTAACATGCATGATCCCGCCAACCTGAGATTAGTTAGAGTTGCATTCCCAGGCAGCAGCTTTAAAGGGACACTGTCACCGTCTTCGTCTGGGAACTTTGAATAATTTGCAAAGATCCCCAGCTGTAAAATTGCTTCTGGGGGTCCAGAGGGACAGGCAAAGGTGAGTTCAACTGACCTGAATCTGTCCTTTGTGGGTGCAACCATCTTCTTCCAGCCGGTCCTCTTCAGCTCTTGGTACTTCAGCGTCAGGAGCCGGCGTCACTGCTCTAAAAGATTTCATCTTTATGAAATCCTCATTTTGCAGAGAGAGGCGACAGTGCTGCTTTAATGCACACTCCATCACTGCCACCATTACATTACACTCTTTACCAATATTGATAAAAATCAAGAGAATCTGAAGAGACAGAGATAGAGCAATGCAGTCTCCCAGCTCCAGCTCCTCTCCCAGCATATCAGTTTTGGAGAAGTTCTGAATTAATCGCATCAACTGCAAATAACATCTACTGGCTGGTAGAGAAACGTGCACCAAAGTCGGGCAGATTGAGGCATGTACGGCCTAGCTCTGTCCTAGCCTAACCATAACCTTAATTTTACAATATTCTGTTTTATAATAGAGTCTCATGGTTTTGTTATGATGTCTCTTGAACATCTTTCTGATTGGTTCTCCGCTATGTATAGGGCTGCTTGCTACTATATTCTTTTGTTGACAAAGTTGTGATTAATGTCTACTGTTTAAAGGATTGCATCTAAGGAACAGTGTAATTTTTAGTATTTCCTACATGGATATCTGTTTGTTTGTGAATGTGTTAGTATTTTGTGCGTAAATCCATGGGCAAGTTCCACCATGTGAGCTTGAGTCTTTAAATGTATTTTCATACATGAGTCTGTACCTGAACATACATGTGTATGTATGGAGGTTTACCTAAGTATGTGTCTTTGTCTCTACCTGTGTTTGTGTGCGCTTGACTGTGTGTCTGTGAGCGTGTACCTAAATCTATAATTGTGTGTATATATAAAGGTATGCATGTACATGTGTGTGTCTGTGAAGGTGCAGTTGTGTGTACTTGTGTGCATAGGATAATCTAGAATGCATGTCAAGGAGGAGTTTGTTTTATTCTAGCCCAAGATTGGGTGCTGTTTAAAAGATGTTTATATTATTGCACGTTATCGTTTTCATTATTGCTTCCACAAATGGCACAAAGCATAATTGTTACAGTGAAATTGCTGTGCCAATTTTGGTCCTTCTTCTGAACTTGGCAGAGGAAAAGTCCTCTTGGTCTATTCGCCAGCGGATGAAAGCTTTTAACTGCAGAATTTGCTTAATGATTTAGTCATAAACAATGCAATGCAACGGGCCAAGATAATAGGACTCTCTGCCCTTCAACCCGTGCGAATGGAATATTTTTGTTATTATATATGGTGTATGCCTGCAAGTTCTGTCCACGAACAACTTGTGTTTCAATCAGACTTCTCGAGAAAGAATCCATGCGAGATGCATCACTTTCTAATTTATAATGCAACACGTTGATCTTCATAATATATGACATTTAGATATAAAATACAAATAATAAGAAGAAGACATCGAAATACAGCTCTTTTGCATTTTGTGGAACAGTTTCTCTTCTGCAGTGGGTGAGACAAAAAAAATGCGTATGAATGAATCATTTCTATAGTAGATCTGTTGACAAGAATGGCATGCTAATGAATGCACTGCAGACTGTGCTTTCTGTTTCTGTAATGTATAAATATAGCTCTTTGTGATTTGTGACCAGGACTGTGCTGTGAATTAGGAAGGAGGAGCTCCTGTGTGTGTGGCTGTGTGCATCTCTCGTCATGTCTGTAATGATGCTGTGGAGATGAGACACAGACGCATCTGTTTGTTTAGAGGCTATTTGCCAAAAATGATTCAAATGCATTGTGGGAAAAAGGAGACATCAGTTTGTCATAACAGTGAGGTTCTAGAAGATCTTAGGTCTGTTTTGAGGGATTTAATTATAAAAATGCCACCTTAATCTTTTTTTGCTAGCGGAAACAGAAAACGTAAAAATAAACTCAGCATTTCTGTTGGCATATCAAGTCTAATTTTAAGCCCATTATTATAGAGTGCAAAAGCTTCTGAAAATAGTATCATGCTTCAAAACAGGTCAGCTAAAAATTTGTTATAATCCGTTAAAAGATTAATAGGGACTCTGTAGGCATAATTATATGGCTGAATTATTATGATCTTATCCCAACTCAGGAGCTGACACTTTAATAGCTGAATCTGGCATTTTGTTATTTTATTTGATCAAGATCATTTGGATATATTTAAATAATACTGTATTTTCAAGAAATTTACTATTTTCTACCTCTCATATTGGCTGTGATTTAGAACCCTTTTCTGCTTAATATGTAACATTTATTAGAGGAACATTTTAAACCCCTAAAGCACTTTAGCTTGCATAAGTGCTTAATGTTTTAAGATTGTGTCCGATTTCAAAAGAAATGGGAATTTATATATGAATCTTGTTACACCAACCCTGGCTGTCAATCAGGCAACAGGTCCTGCTACTTCCTGGTTTGGTTAGCTCAGTGGAGCTAAACTCAAGAGTCAGCAATTGCCCAGAGCACCTGCATTGCAAAGACTTCACATTAAGCTGCATTGGGAAGTCTGTGATTGGACAGCCACAAAAAGTCTGGGCTGGGAAGAAGGGGAGGACTTACAAAGGCTGCAGACGAGAGATCTGCAACTTCTACAGGCTGTTTTTAGCTATACCCAAATTAAAATTGCATAATTGAATACATGTCTGTATTCATTGGTGGTATATCTACAAAAAAATTATTTTCTTTTTTATTTATTGGGGGGCAGTGGAGTGTTCCTTTAATGTATTTGGTTAGGCTTGAAATAAACAATTTAAATTGTAAAGATGCTTGTAAAATGGTCTGAATGTTTGTGTGTGTGTTTGTTTGTTTCCATATATATAGCAGTCTGTGGGCACAGTTTCATGATATTAAAGGGACACTCCAGGCACCCAGACCACTTCTGCCAATTGGAGTGGTCTGGGTGCCAACTTCCATCACCTTTAACCCTGCAAGTTTAATTATTGCAGTTTTTATAATCTGCAATAATTACCTTGCAGTGTTAAGTCCTCCTCTAGTGGCTGTATATCAGACATCGGCGCTGAATTCAGGTAAGTCAGCAACATGGATGGGGGGTGGGATGGGGGGTGCGAGGGAGAGGGGTACTGTAGGATTCTGCAGTGCCAGGAAAACGGATATGTTTTCCTGGCACTGGAGAGTCCCTTTCACTGTCAGAGCATAGTGATAGGGGGATATTAACTGGTTACGTTGTAGTAGATTGGGAAACATTTCAATGTAATTTACTCTTGTGTGAAAAATGTGTACATTTGGTGGGAGGTGCACATCCAATTGATCAGATTTATGGCAGAGGAAAAAGTAAATAATTCACTAACTGATTTACATTATTGTGCTAAAGAGTTATTGCATCACAAGTTTCTTAAACAGCATGAAATCTATTATAAAAATTGTCTTAAAACATTCATAGTATTAGAAAGGTTAACACAATAAATATAAAGTTGTGTATGCTCAATTGACTATTTTAAGAATTTTTTTTCTTGTGACACAAATGTTTTAAATGAAACAAAGTCTTTCTAACTACAACAAATATCAAATACTAATTAATATTTTATATTTGCATTTCTTTGTCACTATAAATGACACTTCTGCTAAACAGGCCTCTTCCTGAAGATACAGGAATGGACACACTTGGCAGCCCTACAGAAGATGACATCACCTCTTGTAAGTACCACCACCGCATCTTGCGATCACACATGGTGATGACAGCCTCATATTCATGTATGTATATTTTGCTCAGCTCCTCCGAGTACGCTAAACATAAATGGATCTCATCGCAAACGAAAGACTCTTGTGGCTCCAGAGATCAATATTTCCCTTGACCAAAGTGAGGGCTCCGTGCTTTCTGACGATTTCCTGGACACACCAGATGACCTAGATATAAATGTAGATGACATTGAGACTCCCGATGAAACAGATTCTTTGGAGTTTGTGGGAAACGGAAATGAGTTGGAATGGGAAGGTGAGTGTTTATCTTAACAAAGTCTCAATTGTTGTGAAGACCTCCAGAATTTGTCATACATCACAGTGGTGAAACTAAAAAAAATGTGAATCCTTCTATTGTCTGTCAATTAGATGCCCTTTACATTCATTCTAACCTTAAATGTTGAGGTCTTGACCTAGTAAAACTCTCTATACAGAGTAATAAATAGCCATGTATCATTCTCAAGTATCACAGATTGATAAATATGGAGAGAATGTGATAATTACTTTATATGGTTTACGTGCAGCATTGTAATAAACAGATTTGACTCTTCCCCTTTCCTTAAAATGCACATTGACATAGTGCATAAAGTCAAAGGAGTGGTGCACACAAGCAAGTTTACGTGGAAGCTCTGTGGAACGGGGCCCGCAGCCCACCAGGAACAACAAGAAGAGATACAGTTCCACAGGCATCACAATGTAGGGTGAAGGCAAAAAAATATTTATTGGAGATCAAAAAGGACAAAAAAAGATGTTTCGGCTTAGAGGCCTTAGTCATGTATCATACATGACTAAAGCTTCTAGGCCGAAACGTTGTTTCTTTTTTTGTCCTTTTCAATCTCCAATAAATATTTTTTTTGCCTTCACCCTACATTGTGACCCCTGTTGACATAGTGCAGTCCATCCGGTTGACAGCCACTAGAGTCAGTCTTAACACTGCAAGGTAATTAATGCAGTTTCCCAGAAACTGCAATAATTACAATTGAACGATTAGGTGACAGGGTCACTGCACCCAGATCAGTTCAATGAGCTGAAGTGGTCTGGGTACCTATATTGTCCATTTAACAATCAGCTCTCCAACCACAAATGGTGAAAATATTTCTTGAGGAACCCACCTCATGCAAATAGTAAGTTCCTTTACACTCAAAAACCACCGAAACATAAGATGCAAACTTAATTGTAAAAGATAGAGAAAATAAATCAAGAGAGAAATGGAGAGAGAGAGATACAGTCAAATTCAGTTTTATTATTGTTTCTGGGTTATTGAAATAATTACATGAAAACTGAATTAGTGTAAAGATTGAAGAGAAGGTTAAATGACTACAAAAGTGGTGCTGAAAATAACAAAAACAAGAGAGTTCTATGGATCCTAAAATACAGCTATTCAGAAGTACATCTGAGTTTCCATGCCTCCCAACATCCCTGAATCCAACAGGACAGTCCCAGAGAATTGGGCTCAGCAAGTGCATCATTGAACAAAGCCCTCTCAGGACATTCAGCCCATGGACAGAGAGCTTCAGACGTGTCCTGCTCATAGGCAGTCCTTACTGGAGCTGGGCTTCCCTAGTGGCTGACATGCTCCTTTTCAGGCAAACCTGCCTCCTTTTTGGGAAGGCCATCCCCCTCACCTCTTCGGTCCACCCAAGTTGATACCTCACCTAACTTGGGTCCCAAGATGATACCTCACAATGTCCGCTTTGTTTTCAGTTTAGCTACTTTGACTTAAAATGTTAAATTCATATTAATTTCCTGACCTTTCCCACTTTAGTACACAGGCAAATTGGCGATTTTAGAAACACTGACGTACATAAAAGTGAGCTAGTAATCTGAAGATATTAACTTACCAGAAATTGCTCCCATGTACATTGGATACATGGTGTATTCATTGTTAAGCATAGATATTTACTCCTCCATTCCAGCGCCCACCTTCTGCCATCCTCCGCTTCCCTTCTGCCTCCGATCTTTTTTGATTTACCCTGCTTTGGGACGCATCCCCAAGCAAGGCAAACTTCATTCATGACACTGGCACACTGACTCCTCTTGGGAATTTCCATAGCAACCTGAGGCAGGCAGGGCGTGAGTGTCACAGTGCCAGTCACTTGTATGGGCACTCTGTTCATGAACTGCATCTGCAGCCTAAACCTTTCTCAGGAACCATTTCAAGAACTATGAAGCAGCATAACTTAAATATTATATCTGAATATTCCATAGGTTACCCAGATGTTTAAGTAGATAGTACAGTGGTTTGTTCCATTGACTAATGCCATTTGCATCAGTGCAATTCTTTGTATTTTGTTGGCTTCTAACCTTTTTTGACAAGGAGCGCGTTTCATTGTCATTTCAGTAGTTTAACAGTCGGCAATGCGCTAGTTTTACTGTTTCGGTGTATGCATAAAGAGTTAATTTATTTATTTGCTCTCCATTAATACTGAAAACATTTAGTCTTATAGAGTTGAGGCAGATTGTTTGGTACTCACTTGGCAGAATTTAGCAGTGGCCGGGGCGATCTAACAGCCAGGTGGCACTGCTGACAAGTCTCTGCGTTCTGCTGAACGTAATAATAGCTGTTCGTTATACAGACATAAATTCATATATAAGTGTGATTCACGTGAGTTGCTTCATAGAACATTCAATAATTTCTTTTACTTTAAAAAAGTATGACAAATATTAAAAACCTCTGAAAAATAGGTGCTTGTGTCAAATCAAAACACAGCTATTCTTGAAAACATTATATCCAGATTTTTTTAAATTGTCTATAGAAAATCAGAGCAAATTATTTTTCTAATGAATTCTTTACTATGTAATATTATAAATGTATGGACAAAAATATAATTTTATATATATATATATATATATATATATATATATAAATGTATGGAGTTGTCCTCTTGTATTGCAATTACCATTTTCCTTGGGATATTCTAGATGATACACCTGTTGCGAATGCCAAGAATATGCCAGGAGACAGCGCTGACCTATTCGGTGATGGAGGAGCCGAAGAGGGCGGACCCACCAATGGACGCATGTGGAGAACGGTTATTATAGGAGAGCAGGAGCATCGTATCGACCTACAGATGATAAAACCTTATATGAAGGTGGTGACACATGGAGGTGAATAGGGCAGTGATCCTCAACCTTTTTAGGTCCAAGTCCTTGGAAGTGATCGATAATATTCCAAGGCACACCTTATAAATTTTTAATTTCCCTTCGTCAGCAGCTTAAAGGGACACTATAGCACCAAAAGAACTGTAGCTTAATGGAGTGGTTTTTCATGTATAGATCATGGCCCTGCAGTCTCACTGTTCAATTCTTTGCTATGTAGGCTTCCCTGGCTATGACAGAAAGGTTTCAGATCTTACTTTAGACGTTTTATTTTCCTGCTCTGCTAATTGAACTTTATACATGTACAGGAGGCTCTAGAAGGCTATTAACAGAAACATAGCAATAATTTTTTACTATAGGTCCCTTTCTGTTCTACTCCCTTTGATATTAAAAATGAAAGCTTAAAAGAGATTACTTAGCTTGTTTTCTGCACCGAGTCTTCTCAGCTACAGCCGCTAGCTCCACCTTCGAAGATGTCAACATACGACGTCCGCAGTCTTCTCCAATCTGAAGGAGGGACTGCCTCTATTGGCTGTCACTGAAGGCAACCACTAGAGGTGTATCTAACCCTTCATTGCCAAACTGCAGAGTATTTTCCATTGCAGCGTTAAAATGACAGGAGCACTGTCTGCACCCAGACCACTTCATTGAGAAAAAGCGGTCTGAGGGACTTTAGATTTTGAAGAGTGCTGAACATAAAAATAAATTGCTGCATTTTTGTGATAATTTTCTTTGTAAATCAGTAAATACTGCAGTAGTACATAGATACAGCGCAAATACATGGTCACAAAAATAAAAATCGAATGCTAAAGAAATATTTATTTATTTAAATGCACATTTAGTCCACTAATAAAAAAGAATAATTGTTGATATATTATTTGCTTTTTAATTGCAGTGCCAGTAATTGTTGCAAATTGTCATTTTATGTCTTGCACAGGATACTACGGAGAAGGTCTGAATGCCATCATTGTATTTGCCGCTTGTTGTCTACCAGATAGTAACTGTCCTGATTACAACTATATCATGGAGAATCTCTTCCTGTAAGTGAGAAGAACATATATGCATTTATAGAGATGGAGTGGTGGGGGCTATATTAACATGTCACACGACCTTTATCATAATGTAACACTCTACATCTTAAATAAAAAGCAATCAAACGGAAAAATATTCTAAGGTACTAAATAATGAGAGAAATATCAGTAGTAAATCACTTTAGATATATCTGAATATAGAACAAATAAATAATAGTGAGCGCATCAAAATAATCTAAATTATTTCATAACCAATCCAGCAGGAACAGAATTATAAAAAGTATCCAAACTGCAAATATTCCCAGGTACTAAATAATGAGACAAATATCAGTAGTAAATCTCCTATGAAATATGAATACACAGTTACTATAATGTAGCAAGTGGAGTAACTCAATAGGATCACTGATACACTAAATACATAGTTGATCTAAATGACAAAATACTGGTGAAACACAGTCTCAAAACACCCTCCATTGGGGGCCCCCACCGGTAAACTCTGGAGTGAAGTTTTATCCTGCTGCTGGGGTCCACAAGTCCTGGGATGACAGTGGTAGAGGTAAGAAAGAGATAGGAGGGCAGGGAGCTCAACCCTCAGCTCCCCAGTTTGAACTGCCAGGAGCTAAACCTCCTGTATAGGAGGGGGCTAGTAGCACAAACACTTAACCCTGTTCGTATCGAACATCGCCGGGCTGGGGGAGCACACCAGTCTGCAAGCCGATCTCCACACCAATATTTCTATCCACGCTTTGTCCATTTGAAATGTTGAGAGGGATAATTTATGGTTACTTGTCATGTCGTTTTTGACCCTGCTGTATTTTATATCTGTATATAGAAAGCATTTGAGTTTTTTATACACAGCTGGAGAGACATTTATTAGCATTTATTCTGCTCTATACTGTTTGTTTTTGGCAGGTATGTGATCAGCAGTCTGGAGCTACTGGTGGCTGAGGATTATATGATTGTTTATCTGAATGGAGCAACACCGCGGAGACGAATGCCTGGGTTAGGGTGGCTGAAGAGATGCTATCAAATGATAGATAGGAGGTGTGTAATGGGAAGATTGTCTTGTAACCACTTTTGTCACTTCCAACAAAAATATTTGGCAACAAAGAAAATTAAATTACATAGCAGGCAGTTATTAAAGGGGCTCAGTAGTCCTGAAAACTACATTAGCGTAATGAAGCAGTTTTGGTGTTTAGATCACGTCCATGTAATCTCACTGCTCAATGCTCTGCAATTTTGGAGTTAAATCACATTATACAGCCCTAGTCACACCTCCCTACGATAACATGCACAGCCTTCCTAAACACTTCCTGTAAAGTGAGATCTAATGTTTATACCTTTATTGCACAGTCTGTTTAATTTGGAATTAAACCATTTTCTCATGCAGGCTGTGTCAGTCACAGCCAGGAGAGCTGTGGCTAGGGCTGCATTAACAGAAACAAAAGTGATTTAACTCTTAAATGACAGATAATTGAGCAGTGACACTTCAGAGGCACAATCTCTACACCAGAACTGCTTAATTAAACTTGTTGTTTTGGTGACTATAGTGTTCCTTTAAAGAGGAAAAAAATATATAAACATACACATGACAATGTCCTTTAAATAGTATTCATTTGTTTTAAACTAATAATCTGTTGGGGTAGGTAGAGTTTAACCTCTTGCACACCCCTGTATCTACTGTTAAGCCACCAGAAGGCAAACATCTAATTGAAGCACAATCCATTACTTCAGTAAAAATGAAAAAAACATAATTTATTACTCCTAATAGGTAATTAGATATCTTCTTAGATCTGCAAGTGATCAGATACCTTCTACTTCTCCTTTCCTTTAATCATATGTATTTGCTGCCGAAGAACTATATTAAACGCTGAAATGATCATAGACAGTGTTAAATAGCTATTATGTCTATTTTATTTTCGTATTTATTTTTTTATCCCATTATATAGGGGAAATATTAATTGTTTATCAGACCCTCTTTCTGTCATTAGTGGGCTGGTCTGAAACTGAGAAGTAAGTGTAGGTAGGGGGCATCATTGCTGAAGAATCTCCTGCAGCTAAGAGGCGTGCCCAACAATGCAATCTGACCAAGTTTATAAATGTGTATGACATGCTTTTCAAAGGCATGTAAATACTCCCTATTATCTGAGGAGGGGTTAACCAGGAGAGAGGATGGAGGGCTGACTGGGATGAGAGATGGTCCAATGCATAATATTTGGGAGTTTTGCTTACAATTGTTGTTGTATTACTTTTCTCAAGTTTTCTAAACTCTCTGTTATGTCAGTTATTGTAGCATTCCAGTAATGTAAATATTGCAAAAAAATTCAAGGGTGTGTTACTTTAATGAATAGTTTAAACCCATTAAAAGAAGTAATTATCCACTAAACTTATTTTTGTTTTTTTTATGTGTGTTTTTTTTCTTGTTTGTTTTTTATTTTCATTTATTTGTCTGCAGACTAAGGAAAAACCTTAAATCTTTGATCATCGTGCACCCGTCCTGGTTTATTCGGACAGTCCTGGCAATCTCCAGACCATTTATCAGGTAATGTACTGGCCAGATTTTCCACAAGTTTGCAAAATTGTGAGATCCTAGACAAATAACCACTGAAGATAAAAAAAAATTGTTTTAAAAAAAAAAATGTAATTTTAAGAAGCAAACCTTAAAACATATAAGCATAGTTCTGGTAGCGGATACTTTTTAGGTAATTACTGTGATTTTATTTTTTTGTAAATCTTTATTTTTGATCGTGCATGGGAATACAATGCGACCCGCAATACCACAACAGCAAATGGAGGTGTTCGTTAAATATACAATAAAACAGTGAACATAACATCAGCAACAGTTAGAGATAACACTACGTTTCATTTCGAGTAAACAGCACGGTATTTTATGTTCGAAGTATAGTAGCTAAACTGCGCTTTTTGAATTGTGTGAGTAGGAAAAGTGGTCAGCGGAGAGACAAAGCGTTTAAGAAAAGAATCTGGTTACACTGACTGACTAGACAAGGGGTGTGAACAAATGGATACGATTTAGTACATACTGGCCTGATTAGTAAAAATGTTACTTTGATTTTATTGTCATACAAGGATTAGTGCAGAACAAAGCTGCTATGTTAAATGAGCAAGATGCAATATGATGTTTTACTGTCAGAAAATAATGTCAGCCAAAAGTAGTCATTCCACCTCTAATACAACTTGTGCTAAGTTGGGAGTGTGAAGTCGGGACTGAAGAGAGGGCTTATGGGGGAGTACCAGGGAAGCTACTTGTGTCACTGTTGATGACCCAGATGGGTAGTCCTGCCGGTAAAGGAGGCAGCAATGACCAAAGCAGGGGTTTGTGAGCCTGGCGTGAATGCTCACCAGGCGAACTGTATGCCCATCCAAACTCAGGTCAATGAATGTGCATGTGTTTAATGCCCTCACTGCAGTTGGCATAGTTCGAGTACATCTTTTCTCACTGTGCTGGTTGGAAACAATTCTCTTGTATCTCAAAATGCAGGACACCAGAGAACCAACTGCGGCCTAAAATCTCTATGATGTCACCATACCCACAACCAGGGGCGTTTTAGCCGCGAGGCAAACAAGGCATTTGCCTTGGGCGGCATTTTTCAGGGGGCGGCAAAAAACGCCGCCCCCCAAATGCCCAGGCAAATGCTTTGTTAGCCTCGCGGCTAACTGACCGGCTGGGCTGGCGGGCGGCGCTGGGCAGGCGGCTGGCGAGGGAGCTCTTCCCCTGAGCGGTCCGCTCAGCTCCCTCGCGCGCCGCAGAGTGAGGCTGGGAACCGGAAGATGACGTCATCTTCCGGCTCCCAGCCTCACTTTGCGGCGCGCGAGGGAGCTGAGCAGACCGCTCAGGGGAAGAGCTCCCTCGCCAGCCGCCTGCCTAGCCCAGCCGGCATCCACTGGACCACCAGGGAGGTAATGAACCCCTCCCCCCCAGCACTCCCAAAGGTAAGGGGGGGGCTAAATAAAAATAAATTAAAAAATGTGTTAATGTGAGTGAGTGAGTGTGTGTCTGTTAATGTGTGTGTGTTTTGTTAGTGTGTGTGTGTCTGACTGTGTCTGTTAGTGTGTATGTCTGACTGTGTGTCAGTGAGTGTGTGTTTGCCTGTGAGTGTGTGTGTCAGTGAGTGTGTGTCTGTTAATGTGTGTGTGTTTGTTAGTGTGTGTGTCTGCTAGTGAGTGAGTCTGTTAGTGTGTGTCTGACTATGTTTGTCTGTTAGTGTGTCAGTGAGTGTGTGTGTGTCTGACTGTGTGAGTGTGTTTGCCTGTGAGTGTGTGTGTTAGTGAGTGTGTGTCTGTTAGTGAGTGTGAGTGTGTCTGTTAGTGTGTGTGTTTCTGTTAGCGAGTGTATGCGTATCTGTCATTGAATGTGTGTGTGTGTATTTAGAAGGCGGGGGGGGTTGGTGCAGGGGGGGTTGGCGCGGGGGGGCGCCTGCGTTTTGTCCTGCCTAGGGCAGCAAAAAACCAGGATACACCACTGCCCACAACAGTTTAGGGGTAATGTTTAAAGTGTTCCAGGACATCTTTAGCCTTGTTGGATAAACATTCTAAATAATATCATATTTTTGGATAAACATTTTAACTTATTAAAATATAAAATAAATAAGTCAATATATAAAAACAAATTAGCAAAATATTACAAAATTAAGATTTTTTTAATAAAATTAAATCACTTTAACAGTTCATACAAAAATTGTACTGGAAGACATTATTTAGGAACAAACGCAAAATAGACACCTGATAATTTCGCGTGAGATAATCTATGAAGCCAATATGTCTTACGTTCTGTATTTACAGTATTGCAAGGAATCACTGACCTGTGCTTACATAGGATACTTTTGCAAGAAATTACAAGGATAGAAAATATAGATCTCACGGTAGAAAGATCTATTTCCAGTCCTCAGCAAGACTGGGATAAAACTTTAAGAAAGCTGAGTTCCTATAAACAGGCTATAGTCATCTGTAAAACTAGCAAAGAACCATGAAAAAAAGTATTTTAATTCTCAAGTCGAAAAACTCCTCTTGTCGAGGGATACCAGAGACCGAATTGCTTAATCGTATACACCTTCTTCTGAATTCTACATACTACAGGGCAACCCTTTTCATGTGCTGCTATCAATATGTATATATGATATGGGCTTAGGAAAACATGGTGGATCTAATCACCCTGGTCACGTGTCCTTAAAGGAACACTATAGGGTCAGGAACACAAACATGTATTCCTGACCCTATAGTGCAAAACCCACCATTTATGTGACTTGCCCCCCCTCAGCCTCCTCAATAGGAATTAAAACTCACCTTATTTCCAGCGCCATGTGGGTCCTCCGGTGCTAGCTCGGCCCCTTTGGTGACATCAGCATAATTGACGATTCTTTGCCAATCCAATGCTTTCCCGTGGGAATGCATTGGATTGGATAAAATCGGCAAGGGGGTGGGGCCAAACGCCATTTTGGCCAATCAGCACCTCCTCATAGAGATCCATTGAATCAATGCATCTCTATGAGGAAAATTCAGCATCCCCATGCAGTGCGTGGAGACACTAAATGGCAGTGCTTCCTACTGTGCAGTACTGCCCCAAGAAGCATCTCCAGTGGCCATCTGATGAGTGGCCACTTGGAGGTATCCCTAGGGGCAATGTAAACACTGCCTGTTCTCAACAAAATATTGTTAAAGTCAGTGCCAAAGGACAGTACACTGCTTGTGACTATAATGAAAAATGTGTATCAACAATAGCATAAAGTAATAAATGGGAAATGGGTAACATGGCAAATATTTAGCCAAGATTTGAGTGCCAAGCATGTGTGTTTCACATATGGAACCTGAAAGGGTGTCCTCCTCCTCCCTGTTTTGTTAACAGAGATATGATATTTTTTTATATTCACCTTGACAGCCAATTATAACATCAAATCTTAATATCTTAATTCAAGTTTAATTACGGTAATGTAATGTTTACAAGGGATCAGTGAGCTACTCCAAGTTGGCAGTCTCACCTTTATCTCCATTGGAATGTATAATAATAATAAATACAAAGTTTAAACAAAGTGTGATTCAGTTCCCTCACCGATCCACCATGTGGATCTTGTGATGTGTGATGGTCAGGTTACAATGTCTCAAGGTTACTGCTCGGTTGCCAGGTTAGCACTGTGTAATGTACACACCGAGAGCTTCTGCTTGCATCAGCAGGGGGATTTGGTAACTGCTACCCAGACACAGCAAGTAATTTATTACTCTAATAAAACTTCCTGATCTCCACGCACTATTGTAGATCAGGGTGAGACACTAACAGGTTCTTCCAGATGTCAGTGTTCTAATGCAGATAGCCATTTAAGTAGAGCCATGTCACGAACTGCTGACTGTATCTGCAGTTATAGACCCAATAAGGTCATAATAGACTGGTCTCATAATTGACCCTGTAACATTAAAATAAATGCAAACATCCTATTATTTTTGGGCCTTGCTGCACTCAGGATACTGCTAAGCAAACATTGTGGATTTTGCATTATTGGCACACACACTGCAAGAAAGCCACAGTGCAAAATCTATAAACATGCAATAAACGAAAGAAAACAAACAATATTAGAATAGGACAGTCCTGGATCATCATTGGTTTTTCTTCTTCCTACATTTATATTGTTACTTTTGTTTTAAAAAAAAGTTACACTTAATAAACTCAATAAAATACAAAACAGGGGGGCGGGGCTGTTGGCCATGCTGACCGGTTGAATGTCGGAGAGGCTCTGAAAGGATCGGGCATTGTGAGCTAATACTCACGGCTCACATGATTATAATGAACCGGAACGTTCAAACGAAATAGAGCCGCAGTGGCTGGTGCAACAGCGGACTCCAAGATCGGGAGCATCGGAGCACTAATGGTGAAACGAGGCTTTGGAGTCTGCGGCCTGCTCTGGGTTGAGTGGGGTGAATGGCCGGCGCCCTGCTTTCTCCCCAGCTACCACACACTGGCACATTATGGTGCCTGCTGGCCCCGCTGACCCCCCCTATGGACTGGTGGGGGTTATCCCGGTCCCCACTGGAGGGATCCAAAGCTGCAAAAAGAAAGAGGTAATAACTGACCCAGCACTCAGATTCCTGTGCTCTGTTCCTAAAATGGCAGCCAACCAAGTATTCCTCACAACTCCCACTCTGATTAACTCGCAAGCAGATCCACCACTGACAGAGGTGATCCAAAATATTCACCCACAACGGAACCAACGATGGAGGTGATCGACACCCTGCGGGACAATAAGGGGATTGCACACTACCACCTTGAGCAGCCGGAGGATGGCTCTCAGCAAGGCTCACTTTCACTCCCAGCAGCCAGATCTGGTTCCTGCAGCTACTTAACCAGGCCTGGAAACTGAAGGACATGTTGGACATATCCACCTCATGCTACACAACGCCAACAGAACCTAGTCAGCTCTGGGATGAAGGGGAGAAACGGCAGGCTCTCTGGATTATCAACTACACAGGGCGACCTAGATGGGAGGAAGCTTACTACACAAAGGGTCTGCAGTCAGTGTCTCATGTTATTCATAGCCTCATGCTTCTATCATTATTGATGGTAGAGACCTTGCCTAATGCCAGTCACCATTCTGCTTAGGAATGCCCCTTTCTATATTTTCACATAGTAACCAGAGCCCAGTGGAACTAAGTCCAATCTGTTTGATAAGTTAGTTCAGCATGCTTAATAAGTTACATTTGAGCTTAACTCCTGTGTTTAAGTAGACATGTCAGCCCAGTTTTATGCACTATTCTCACTCCTCGTTTCTAGACAGCACTCTTAGCTAGCTGAATATTGTGAAGAACGCTATTGTGGGCATGATGGCTTATCATTTTCTCCTGACAAATAACCTACAATTGTTTATTAAGCATGTCCACTATATCTATGTTTCTTGCTAGGCATACAACTGTCACTACGCTCTACTACTCCTCTCCTATTCAGGTCTTTAGACAGATTGTTAATGTTGTTTATTATAATGTTACATATATCTGTATACAAAACGATGTAAGACTCTCAGACATAAGCTGATCACCTTCAATGTCATGTTTCATTAATATGTCACTACAAGCCTGTCTGTATCAATGCATCACAAAAAATAAAGAATACAAAAAAAAATACAAAAAAATAAAATATGTATTTATTTTTATATTACACTAAACTTTGGTAGAAAGTGGTAGTAAAAAGGACATCTGCGGTATTAAAGGATGCCTCAGTTTCATCCATTGACCTCTGTGTTGTACGCTTGAGCATGCAAGTAAGTATATCCACCTTTAACCCAGCCCTGTCGCCATTGCACTTCTAACAGGAACCTACCTTAAGAGCCGTAGCAAAAAACTACTTGAAATCCTAACCATATTATTTCTAAAATCAGAACTAATGTTTTTTGTTTTGTTTTTTTTATAATTTTTTTTAGTTTTTGCACTAGTTCTGGTTAAATTCTAATAAGCATGGCAATAGAAAATGTGTAACATTAAGTAGGTAATCAATTTAACACAAATGCTCTCAGACTGATTGGTTTTAAGTCCAACCTCCCCTCCTCACATCAGGGTATCAGTAGCATTTGTAAACACTCTTTACTGTGGTAGCGGGGCATAAGCCTATATTGTTTTATTTTTATTTTAGTACGGTTTATAGTAAATCATTAGTTTAAACTCAGTATACTGCTTCATCTTGTGTGCAACCTTAAGAGATGTATTGTACGTCTATTAGTCTGTCCACGCTAAATTCTAAAACTTATTCCACCGGATGTTAGGCATATTACAAGATCTGTATACTTGAGAACCAACATGTTTTTGTATGCCTATTGTATATGACACAATAGGCATAGTATACAATAGCATATCTTTATCTATTGATATCATATCTATTAGTGTCTTATTAGTTGTCTGTGTATTTAATCAAAAATAAAGAATTGGGGGGGGAAAAAAACACATCTTCAATCTGATATTTTGTAAGCAAAGAAAGTTAGGAGGAAAAAGACCCAGACTACGTCAAACAAGTATTTACAGCATGCAGTAACCTTATGTGAAATTGAAAACACTGAACACTGACTTTTTCTTTTGCAGTGTGAAATTTATCAATAAAATTCAGTACGTGCATACTCTGGAGGATTTGGAGAAGATAATTCCAATGGAAAATGTACATATCCCCGAAGGTGTCTTGCAGTAAGTTAGTGGTGTTTAAATATCTATCGTTTTTTAGCCGTGGCCACCCTTTCCACTTCCTTCTAACAGATATACACTCACACAGCTATAATGTTAAAGCAAGTCTGTACTGTCCGTTCAGGGAAATATATAATGGTGTATCGCTAATTAATTCATAAGGAGTTGGACACTCTTTAAAAATTGGAGATTTTGTCTAAGCCAAGTTTAGTGGAATGCGAATGGAACACATATCCTCCTGAGACCCAGCCCATTAACTTGTGTCCTCTGTACTGGACACTTCGTTCACATGCATCTCCTTTTATTCGTTTGAGCTACTCTATCATTCCCTGTTGTATTGTAAGGAGGACATCCTGGGCTTTCCAGTGATATGTCATGTGATAGGCTAGGATGCTGGGAACTTTCTCTTACTTTTCATCAAAAATGGAAAGAAATTGGAAGACAATTTTCTTCCTCGGTTCCCAGGAGGATATGTAAAGTCCCAATCACTTTTAAGACAGTGCCCATCTTCTGTAACAGTAGTAATTTTTTTTTATATTTTAATAGAATGACTGAGAGAAGGTTCTTCTTGAGGGTTTTCACTCTTTTTCCCCAGGGTTTTTGTGTTGGAACAAGCAATTCGGACATATTCCTTGAAGAATATATATTAGTATGGATAAAAATGAGACTGGGCATTCAAGGTGGAATCATCTAGACTTTATTCAGATATTAAAACATGAAATAACGTTTTAGTCACATAGCCTGGCTGAAACGTCATCTAATGTGTTAATATCCCAATGAAGTCTGCATAATAACACCTTGAGTGCCCAGATCCTCATTTTTATTTGGATTGGAGAAAAAGGGTATTTGGCATCCTGGGTTCAGGTTGCACCGGTGGGGTGGAGAAGGATAAAGAGTAAGGCAGCGTGTAGTCCCTGTGGAGATGCTTCAGATATACATGGAACAAAATTATAAACACAACACTTTTGTTTATATGTACATAGAAAAAGTCTTAGATCTTTGAGTTCAGCTCATGGAAAATGGGAGCAAACAAAAAAGTGATGTGTTTATAATTTTGTTCAGTGTACATTAGTCTGGAACTTACTTTTTAGCTGATAATCTGGATCTCCAGGCTGAAAGCACAAAAGCCTGCAAGGAACCTAGACATTTTTGGAAACTACCAAAAGTTACACATTCTCGCAAAGTGGATTGACTCATATACTCAGGATACGAAGGATTCACATTTTCTCTAAGGTGGCCTGGGTCATTCTCTAATCACAATTTCACGTAAGGCATGAACGATCTCTGGAGCCCCTTTCCTACGATATATAAAAGTTACTTTAGATTGGAGTGAAATACATTTTTTACTTGTACGAGGGCTACTGTCATAATCCTATTTACTGTTTAAAGTAACATATCTCAGATTTTCCAAAAAGTTGTTACTGTAAGAAAAGGCTCGCCAAACTTATCAATAGAATGTCGGTGTTTAGTCTAGCAAACAGATCTGTGCAATTAAAGGGTAAACTATGCTGGTTTTTCTTAAGTATTGGATAGTTGGATGTATATACTGGTTTAATTAAAGCAAAATGATAGAAAAGTTTTGTGAAAATATGAAAACGGAAAATAGTAACCAAATGCTGTCCTGCAGGTTTGATGAAGAGAGAATGAAAGCAAGGAGAGAAAGGTAAAATATCTTTCTTCTAACCCTAATTTCCATGCCATTTTTAAAAATCTGTTCACATACCAGCATGTTTTTCATGTTCTTCCCAGGAAGTAGCAGGTTTAACAGCTGATCTCATTGTTTACAAAGTAGCACATTATTCCATAATGGGAGGAGTAGTATCTATTGTGACATTTTCCGCAGCTGTGCATGGGCTAATGACTTGTCGCCAAAAGTCTTGACAAGACAAGAACCGTAATCATACAGCAATGTAGGGTTTTTAATAGGTCACTTTGTGTAGGAACATGATTTAAAATGCAGGCGTAATCCAACTTGCAGTAATATATCAAACGACAATATACATAAATATGTAGAGTAAAGCGCCCATCTGCCCCACCTCTTACTGCCTTTGCAAGGATAGTGATTACTGTTTATGTTGATCTTCTGTTAACTTGGAACAGGAGAGATCTTGTGGTGCTTCTCGTAATATGCCTTTAGTACTTGCACAGCAGGGTAGAGCCACATTGATGAGTGGAGAATAGAAAGATCTGTTAGTTTTGTCGCTTGCAGAAAAGTTTAAATCTTCTGTGTCTTTGTGTGTATAACGTGGGATTGTGTCTGTGCATTTCTGTGTAAGTCATAAGTTCTGATGACTTAAAGGTAGGCAGACAATGTAATAGAGCAGCAGGAAATGCTAGCAGAATGCTTGGTTGTATAGGGAGAGGTATTAGCAGTAGAAAGAGGGAAGTGCTCATGCCATTTTACAGAACACTGGTGAGACCTCACTTGGAGTATTGTACACAGTACTGGAGACCGTATCTTCAGAAGGATATTGATACCTTAGAGAGGGTTCAGAGAAGGGCTACTAAACTGGTTCATGGATTGCGGGATAAAACTTACCAGGAAAGGTTAAAGGATCTTAACATGTATAGCTTGGAGGAAAGACGAGACAGGGGGGATATGATAGAAACATTTAAATATATAAAGGGAATCAACACAGTAAAGGAGGAGACTATATTTAAAAGAAGAAAAACTACCACAACAAGAGGACATAGTCTTAAATTAGAGGGACAAAGGTTTAAAAATAATATCAGGAAGTATTACTTTACTGAGAGGGTAGTGGATGCATGGAATAGCCTTCCAGGTGAAGTGGTAGAGGTTAACACAGTAAAGGAGTTTAAGCATGCGTGGGATAGGCATAAGGCTATCCTAACTATAAGATAAGGCCAGGGACTAATGAAAGTATTTAGAAAATTGGGCAGACTAGATGGGTCGAATGGTTCTTATCTGCCGTCACATTCTATGTTTCTATGTGTCAAGATTTCCTCCATGGAAGTCTGAATAGGAAATTCTTACCCTGCTGTAAGGGACCAGTATGGCAGGAAATAAAAGAGGGCTGTTGTAGCTCCATCCTAATGTCATACGTCAGGAACAGTTTAACAATTTTGTGATCATTGGAACCATAGTAGTCTTCCCAGTAGGCAGAGGTTACGTGAGAGTTCTGACATCCACTTAATCTCATCTTTATAGTCACTCACCCTGCACGCCATCTTTGTATTAGCCATCTTTGGAACATTTTTGTGATCTCAACAGCTGAACGCATCGATTCTTTGGTAATAATATAGCCACTATTCCCTCCCTTAGAAGACTGTACTGTTGGTTACTGCTTAAAGCCAAATTACGAGTTATAGTAAGAATATAAAAAAAAACAGTCAAGCTTAAAAGTTGTGTTGGTGCAAGGAGTATCTCATGAAAATAAATTCATCCTATGGAAATTGTATACTGGACTAGGATCATATCCAACCTTCAATTCTTGCTACATAATTAAAACAAATACAGAAGTAGCTTAGAAGTATTACAGAAAATAAAAAATGTTAGAGCAGTTCATTTGTTAAAATTTTTAAGAGTACCGAGGACAGCTGATTTTGATGTTTCAGATATTACCATTGATATTTTTGCTATGACCATTATGTCCAGTAAATTGGGGATAGTTTTAATATGTCACTTTTGTTATTTTGATATTCTTCTTATATACTAAATGAATGGTTTCCTAATTTGTATGAATTCTCTCACCCAGATCAGAAAACCTCCAAGAACCCACGGATACGGGAAGGTAACGCAATGAGAATTACTTACAAATTACTTTCTGTTATGCTAGACTATTGTTTGTTTTTTTTGAGTGAATATTCACTTTTTCCAGTGTTCATAAGGCTTCTAACTTTTGCAAATTGCAAATGAATGCCCATAAAACACAACTCACCTAACCACGCAGATGAAACAGTTGTATCTCACAGGGTTCTATCTTGTACCATTACTTCCCCTGCCGCGTGAATGTAAATGGATACTGCCCTTCTTTCTCCCAGCTTATGCCGTAGCTTTTGTAGGTCAAACTTTATCGCTGCATTCTAGAACTCAAAAGGGAGAAATGAGGAAGAGCTCTAAGTATAGAGAAATAGAGATTATCTGGAGGCTGCAATCTACAATCGTATAGATCTTTGGTATTATTGCACTTACAGTTTGGGTGTGTAACATTCTGGAAGCATGCTTAAAAATCTGCAGTGACAGAAATGCCAACAGGCAGCTTACCGATAACCATAAGAAGAATACCGTAATTGACCTAAAGGGTTACTCCTTGCACCATGGACACTTCACCATTTTGAAGTGATTATGGTGCCTGGGGGTCAGTATGTGTAGTGTTTGGTTATGAAATGTAGCACATATAGAGTTCCAGACTGGTTCATGTCAGTTATGTGCATATGTAGCGACTGAGAGCCAAAGGAGGCATGCACCAGTCTCAGGGGAATTCATTGTCTTTCTTGTCTTTCTTGTTCGATAAAGCTTAATATGTAGAACTGTGTTGATTTACATCTGTACATTAATTTTTGTGCGTTACCTTTTTTTTAGCATACCACAAACTGAGAATGTGCAAGGCAAATGAATATCCGCACTTGAGGATTCCATAATGATGTCTCAATCCCCTTTGTTGTAAGAAGACACCTTCATCAGAACTTCAAGCTTAATATTTAATTTCAAAACCAAGGGTCAACATTGCAGGGGTTATATAAGCAAACTTTTGATATACAGACAATTTATGTAGAAACTACACTAATACTTCTAGTGTGAATATGTTTTGATTGTCTCAAGAAAACACCAAAAAAGTTTGTTTTTTAAAGTTTGAGATTAATCCAACTTCATCCAAGTCTTGCTACCATATCCTTGAATATCGACATGCGTGTTAAGTGTCAGTGACTATGTTCGCCTACTCCGTGTTCTTTAATATCCTGTAGTACAAGTCCAACAGCAGTGATGAAGTATATGGATTCAACCAAGGATGGCAACTGTATTAATAACAGCAGACACAAGCTGCAACCTGGTGACAATCTTTAATATATGGCTCAAAATTTCCATTGGCCCACTAGCCATTGACAAGTGAAAATTCATCCTTGGCAATTAGATATTCTCCTCTGGTGAGTGTGCCACAGACCATCAAGGTTTACAGTGGCAAGTAACTTTAAGGCTTGAAATCTTGAGCCACAATAGATTTAGAAATATGGGCCAGCTCAGATAAGATACTATTGATTCATAGTATTAAGCAGATACACTAAACTTTATTTGAGATCTAACTACAAGTGGCACTTTCCTTCTGCACATATTACTGATATAAAGCAGCTGGAATCCCAACATGCCTACAGAATTGTGCTTGTAATTTCTATGAATGTGGGTTCTGTTATCAAGTTGGCCCTGTACGTACCTTAGACCCTACACCCATTTCTGGGAGCTTTTAATGTCGTTTCCTTGATAGCAGTCTAAGCAGTTCAATACATAGATTTTGTGGGGTTCATGTGCATTTCCACCACTACCCCTAATGGTCATCACTACACCTAATGGAGAAAAGATGGGCATGGAATGAGTAGAGGTGCACAGTACGCCCACCTAGGCAGAGCCACGGACTCAAATTCTGGTTAAACACAAATTTCTAGGTGTGCCAACATCCTGGGAAGCACATGGTACATGATGAACAATGACTTGTGATCCCTCTCCCTATAGATGACATCATTGTCGTAGGAATTGTTTCCTGCAGAATGTGGTAACAGATAGCCGTTGCTCCAACAATAGTTGTTTCTCAATTGACAAAATCTGCACAATAGAATAACTCTGCCTCTAACAGTTTTAGTATTTGTCCTTTGAGCTCGTCTTTGACAAGTTGTCCTGTCGGGGAACCTTTAAAAGAAACTTAAAGTACGTTACGAATTTTGATGTTGCACAGAAGAGGAGACATGTTTGAAAATGTGTATATTTTGTTTCGGGGATAATATGGGGATAATTGAAACACAATTTTGACTACTCTATCAATTACTGATACAAGATGATATAGGACAAACATTCTGTTTATGGTAAAACTTAAATCATCTTAGCATTGCTGCAGTTTACAAAATAATGGCTAACGTGGTTATATACTAACGTGAGAATTCAAAGTGAATTTAAAATTTTATGCCAAAGTAGCTAAACGGAAAACCTAGTGGCTTAGAGCAATTTTCCGATTCAGCCCTTTTTGCCTTAAATTTGAAATTTGCTTAGAATTTTTACTTTGGTAAATAAGTCGTAGTTAAAATGAAAAGACCTAAATTGCTGCAAAACAAAAGAAACTGGAAGCTAAATTGCTTACATGCCCGTTATGAATCCTGCGATTACAATATGCGTTTTAAGATGCCAGCCCGGGATTAGTAAGTATCCCACCTGAATTCCTACCAGTAACTAAAAACAGATCTATTTATAACTGTAAAAGCTGTCCAATTTACATGATGTGATAATCTTTCTAATCCACACCGTGGCCACCTGCGTTCACACTTGTAGCAAAAACTAAGTCTGATACTTCCTAGTTATGCTACTCTGGTATGAATTGTTCAAAGAATACGCACTAATGTGTAATGTGGTTTTTAATAGTTTTACGTTTATAAATTGGTAACACAAATTACGGTATATTGTTTCAAATTAAGAAAGTGAAATCATTTATATTTGGAATAGGAAGAAGATGTTCGGCAAAGTTTTGCGGATTTTTTTTTTCAGGTCCATAGTTGCTTCTCAGTTACAAAATTTACAGAAAATCCTAAAATTTTATTTAATCTAAAATTCTGACATTAGTTAAAGTCTGTCTTGGGCCAAATGCAACGAAAGTGGAAGGGATGACTGACGGACAGTCCGTGATGGAGACGAGTTGAGGGGTGTGCCTGCTCTGAAAGTTTGTGTGCCATACAGAGATGGGCATATCAATCTTCCATACGTGTAACCCAATTACAATTGTTTATATAGCGAGAATGCATTCAGCAACACCGGAGCCATTCCTGGATGGGTGCAGGCCGCCCAGGTGCTCTGTTGATAGGTGGAGTGTGCAGTGCTAGGGTCCTCCACCTCAGGTAGGCCCCACCCCATCATTAGGCCTAACTCATCACAAGCGGCACCACCGGCAGAGGGGTGGGGCTTACCTGAGGGATGGAGCCTAATTCTGCACACAATGCCTATTTACAGAGCACTTAGGCAGTCTGCACTCACCCAGGATCGGCTCTGAGCAGCACTGTAGCATAGGTAAACAAGATAAACAATTAATTATAACCAAACAAGTTTGTCATTCGAGAAGAGAGCCATGCCTAAATGAGATTACAGTCTAAATAGCTGACAGTCTCTCTGTGCAGAGTGCTCCTGAAGCTGCTATGGGGTCAATGCACTAAGAATATTCTGCATAGCATCGATTGATGCGTCAATGCTGCAGTTTTTGGGGACACAGGGAATAAACCTACAACACAAGGACTGAACTCCAAAATTACGACCGTGATCAGCTATTGAGAGGTATGGATTGGGTCTAAACGTACAGTTACGATTTAGAACAGTCTGGTGTTTGCTAATATGTTGATAGAATGTATCCAAATTCCATACAAGGTGTAGGAATTCAGACATTTTTCCAAGATATAATTAAATTCTAGTTTGATTATTAGATGGCAGATTCAAAGACTTCTGTTTCCTTGTTTTTTGCATTTGAAATAGTAGAAATGTGTATAATTTGCCACTGGCTGCGAGACAGTTTAAAAATAAGAAACAATTTAGTAAAACTCTTAAGTATGAGCCTCTGGGACTGACTAAAACCGTAATAATGCACTTTGACAACATAGTTTTTAGTTAGGAACTGGTAGACATTTAAAGATACTGCTTGGTTGATTGGTGGTCTACAAGATCTTAGAATTATTTTTAATTGGATGGATGGAAAATAGGAATAACCGGTAACTAACCCTCACATGGATGTTTCTGGTTATTTGGGCATCCTAAGGACCCCTGTTTCACCTTGTTTCATTTATTTTAAGCCGTTGCCCAATGGTTGAATCTGCAGCAATCAAATGATCTTAAACATGCTTGTACTAACTGCACCTCGAAAACTATTGTATCTTGGGAATTCAAATTAAAGTAAGTTGTTTTTACAAAAATCATTTTGATTATAAAATATGCATTAAAATATGATGCAAATTCAAAAAAATTAAAATAAACCCAAAAAAATATTTACATGGGATTCAATGCGTTGTTTTGTGATGTTAAATGAACAGCTGTAAACTTGCAAAATGTATGTATCTTGAATTATTTACAAAGGAATTGATCTAGGTGACTTTAGTGGTCCTTTAAGCTCCCACACTAATCATCTAAAAAGCTACAATCCACTGACACTGAGCCGATCCTGTGTGGGTGCAGACTGCCTAGGTGCTATCCGGGTAGGCGGGGTGTGCGGTGCTAGCCTCCGCCCCCTTGGATAGGCCCTGTCCCATTTGTTAGGCCCCAGCCTCTCTGCAGCACGATGCTGGTGGTGAGGGAGTGGGACCTACGTAAGGGGGTGGAGCCTAGCACTGCACACCCCACCTATCTACAGAGCACCTTGGGCGGTCTGCACCCACCCAGGTTTGGCTCTGTGGGGTTGTAGGTTTTTAGTGTTGAAAGAGAGAGCCATGACCATTTTCATGATTAGTGCGAGAGCTTTAAAATATCTAGTCTCTTAAATACTTCATGACATTTGATGTCATGAAGTATTTGGCGATTATGATATAATAGAATTTACTAACCTACTTGTCGTAAAAGGGGATTAATGTAATGAATATGTGTTTACGCCAATTCCCATACATGATGAAATGTATTAACTGTTATAGTCCATTTAAGTGCTAAGTTCATTTACTTCCCCCAGCATCGTGTCACTTCTACAAAAATGCATGTTCTCATATCCCCAGGTATTTTTTTCCAAATAACCCCTTATCATTTGTACACCTAAACATGTACAGCCTTATTCACTAAAGTGAGAATTCAAGGTCAAATATAATGTCAAAATAGCCAACCTGGAAAAATTCTCTAAGCTATATATGCAATCAGTTCATCTACTTAACCATAAATTATAAAATCACTTAGAATTTCTATTTTAGTAATTAACCCTGATTTTATCCAAAAAGTGCGTGAAATTGGTAAACAATATATTTATAACTGCCACTACTACACTCTAGTGCAGGGGTAGGCAACCTTTGTCAATCAAGATGTTGTGGACTACACCTCCCATGGTGCTTTGCTAGCATAATGGCTGTAAGGGCATTATGGGCGATGTAGTCCAAAACATCTGGAGTGCCGAAGGTTGCCAATCCCTGCTCTAGTGTGTATCTCTCTCGTCCCACCTCTGAAAACATGCAAAATAAAGAAATCTTAGGGATGAAAAACAACCAGAAAGAAGAAGAGAAAGTAGCAGCTGCATCTAGTGTAATTTTTTTTTTTGTCATTCTCTGGTTTTTTTAATTCTTTATCTTGAAAGTGGGGCAGCAATTTACAATACAAAAAGGCACAAATAGCCAAAATGACCACATTTTCATTTTTTGTTAGAGCAAATAGCTGCGTAACATTTCTGATATAAAAGACAGAAGTAGCCATGGACTGTTAGTGAAATTGAGAGGGTGTAAAGATAGTAAAACTCAGGCAGTGTGCTGTACAATAGAGTAAGTTATGGTTAGCATGATGTTCGTATGAGGGTTCATGTCTTATGTCAAAACAGGAGAGATAGATAGAGGGGGTGAGTTTGTAGAACTAAGGCAGGCCAGAAGCATACAGCGCCAGCTTAACATTTTTGAGTGTAAATATAATGAAGTGCTGCTGAAATACACCATGGAAGGAGTCTCTCCGTCACAGACGTGCTGGGTGCCGGCACAAAAGGCATACTAGTGCCAGCATTCCAGTTACCTCTCAGTAGCTTAGTTAGCGAGCGGAAGAACCGTCGCCATAGAATTGTTTGCCTGGAGAAGTCATTCCCATCTGGTATTGCTGATCTGAAGGCCCAAGTGGGAGGCCAAATACTCCTGATGGTAGGTCGGCCGTCGTTCAGCATTCCACATTCCAATCTGTGCTTCAACCCATCTGGGAGATGGTTGTCCTGGTTTTAAAAAAATGCCCAGCTTCAGCGTATGCCTGTCATTTTCTACCGTTTGCCGGTGCGGTCTGCGCCACCTGAGGCGGGTTACTACAGGGCCTGTAACTACTTGTCGGCAAAAGTGACTTTGGAATGGCTGTGCATGTAAGTTTGATGCGGTGCTCCAAGTGTAATATGTCATACACAATAGGAACATGAGCTATTATACCCAAAGTCAGGTTCCTTGGGCTCTGGTCAAGGTGAGCAGTTACCTTATAGAATATAAGTGTGTCAGGATTACTATATGATCCAGCACGTAGTATTGTGTCACACAAATGACTAATAGGTAACGTATTACCGGGCCTTAGAATGGCCGGACTAGCATACCAAAGAATAGTCAGGATACTAGCCGAGGTCAAGGGACACAATGATAAAGGAAAGCCAGAAGTCAGGGATACCAGAATAGAGGGAAGTCAAAATCAAAGCCAAAGTCAAAAACCAGAAGAAACTTGAATCAGGAACGCGCTCTCAGACAACCACTAGGGAAACCACGACAGGGCAATGAGGAAAGGTAATTTTAGGTTTTTATGCCTACTTTACCGTTCTGATTGGCCGAGATTGCTCTTTGACCCCCAAACGTGCACGTGCGGCGTATGAGTGACATCACGCGCACGCCGACGTGGGGGTATAATTAGCCATGGATCCGCAGTGGCCGGTATCCATTAACATGCCGCAAGTGTCAATCATGCAGATGCACGGCCGCTGACGCAAAGGTGAGCATGAATATGTTACAAAGTCTATATATTGTGTATAACATATTATACTAGGAGCTGCTGCTTCTTTCTCTGTTTTCTCCTGAGCAAACATCCTTTGACCCAGGGCCGCTATCAGGGGGTGACAACCATGACGGTTGTCACGAGCTTGGCAGCCCTGGGGGCCAGCCCTGATCTAGCGGCAGAACTGCCGCCGGTGCAGCTGCACTGGGCCCGCACGCTGATAGGGCCCACCAAGTGGCCCAAGCATTAATCTCTACATAATGCTGCTCCCACCTATCTATCCTCCCTAATACACCGGTATGTCCCATCTAGGCCCCTACACTCTGCCGAAGACCTGCGTCTATCCTCTGTTCGTACTCCCACCTCTGATGCTCACCTTTAAGACTTCTCTAGGACTGCAATGTTCCTGTGGAACTCGCTTCCCTTTTCTGTTAGATGCTCACCTAGTCTCCACTCCTTCAAAAAAATCATTAAAAACTCACTTCTTCACAAAAGCGTATCAATTAAACTGTTAATGGCTCCAAAAAAATAACCGCATTAAGTCTTCATTGAATACTATTCTACCAATCTACTTTCCTAATACTATCCTTACCTTTTTGTAATTTTACCCCACTCCTTCTAGCATGTACGCTCATTGAGCAGGACCCTCAACCCCTCTGTTCCTGTGCGTCAAACTTGTCTGGTTACAATTACATGTTTGTTAGTCCAACCATTGTAAAGCGCTACGGAATTTGTTGGCGCTATATAAATATAATAATAATAATTAAGGGCCACCCGATGAGTTCTATATCATTAGGGGCCCGGTCAGCGCTGCAGCCATGTAATGGCGTGGCTGGGCCCCTTTAAAAAAAAATTCAGCTGCAAGTACTGCTGGGAGGAAGTGATGGCCAATCACTTCCTCCCAGCTTACTCCGCCTGAGAGGAGAGAGTGACAGGCCATGAGGACGGGAGAGCCACCCTTCTGCAATGAAAGGGTAAGAAAAATTTGCTATGTGTGTGTGTATTTCAGTATGTATGTATGTGTATGTATCATGTATGTCAGTATGTATGTGTGTGTATGTATGTCTGTATGTGTGTCAGTATGTATGTATCTGTATGTATGTATGTATCTATCTGTATGTATGTGTATTTCAGTATTTATGTATGTCAGTATGTGTATGTCCGTACGTATGTCCGTACGTATGTATGTCTGTCAGTATGTATGCGTGTCTGTCAGTATGTGTGTGTGTGTGTGAATGTATGTCCTTATGCGTGTGTGTGTCTGTATGTATGTTAGTATGTGTCTGTGTGTCACTATGTATGTCTGTGTGTCTGTTTCAGTATGTGTGTGTCAGTATGTATGCCTGTATGTGTGTATGTTTGTTTCAGTATGTGTGTGTGTCAGTATGTATGTGTGTCAGTATGTGTGTATCTTTGTGTATGTGTGTGTATATCTGTGTCCTTTGTATCAGTGTGTAATCCCGACACACAATCCAGAGACTCTTCACGACAGCCCTAACCTGCATAAACACTTTGACATCTGCTTGACTAAACCACCATAAAAACTACATCAATCAGAGGACTTTCCAAACTACACAGGGTGAGATCTGTCCATTAGGACCTAATCATGGATAAAAATTGTTTTGCTTTTTGAGTTTTTTTGCGTGTGTACACACTGGGACTGTATTTCTATTAGCACTTTTTCATTTTTTCATTGTTTATTTTCTTTTTTTTCTTTTTTGGCAGAAAGTTTTTGATACCATAGATGCAGTATAATAATAATAATAATTAGGGGCCACCCGATGAACTCTATCTATCATAGCAGGAATATCTAATTGACTTATTATATACCAGAGGAAGCAAATTAATCATGGATATTTTATTCTACTATTCTCTAGCTATCACCAGCAGTATTACATTGTTGTATCCATTTGTGGACATTTGTTTTGATTTAGAATTTATTTTGTGTGGCTACAATTACACTTGTATTGAAATATAAACTGTAAAGTCACAGACTAATATCCATAAACCGTGTAATAAATATAAAATCTTTTTCTGCATTACCTTTAGAGTGCGGTATCATACGTTAATATTAAATTGTTATACACTATATAGTTTTCTTTCTTCTTTCCTCAGTTGTACAGTATTTAAGAATTATCCCTCATTACCTTGCTTGGCACCCCAGTATTTTATGAGTTACAACTGTCGTGATGCTCGGTCAAGGACAGACCATTTTTATTCATTTTTTGTTTTTTAGTTTTTTATAAGCTACAGTTGTCGTGATGCTCGGTTAGCCTTTAGGTCTAATAAGACACAAGGTGGAGATGGAAGGTAAGAGTGTAAAGGTAAAATAGGGTAAGCAGATTTAAGAATAGACACATGGTACACTATGTAACGTTAGCTGAATGTCAAGATGAGTGTTATTGATTCTGCTAATGTAGAGGTAGAGCTCTATAAATATAATGAAACAGCTGGTTAGGCTGGACAGGACAGATAACTCACTAAAGTGCAAAATATTTTAAGAACATTTGTTGCAGAGGGCAATTAGCTAGTAAAGAAGTGAAAAATACAATTAACTCTTTTGCTACTGGGTTTGGTTTAAGAAAAAGTCTGAAAAAATGTAAATATATATATATTTTTTTAAGCTTAATTTGACACATCAAACGTCGATCACATAACATTAAGAAAGGACATGGATTCTGTGTATACATTATTTTGCAAGTTGTTTTTTTTAAATAAAGTTGTATGCCTTCACATGTTTAATTTCACATGTGTTAATTTATATTATACAAGAAATATTAGAAGTGATTAAAGGCTTTCAAAATAATAATGTAAATTCAGTAGAGCATGACGCTGTTCAAACTTTGTACTCAGCTATAGTTATACAGACTTCTGTACACAGACAGATCTGTATTCTGAGTTTAGTTGCAGTCAGGAACCTGCCTTTGAGCTACGATGAATATGATGGACCTTTAATCTCACTTTTGAGGATAAATCATTCTAGTCGCAGCAACAGAACGGCTATTTACAGCGCTTGTAACATTTAGGTTTATATAGTATATACTTTCTTCATTTATTACGAACGTCCCTTGAAATTTCAGCATAAAAGCAGAAAAACAATTTTGTTTATATGTAATTATAAGATTTGTTTTAAAATATTTTAAATATTAATATCTTACCAAAAATATTAAGCAGATACAAAATGCAACTCACGTTTAACCCCTTAAGAACCAAACTTATGGAATAAAAGGGAATCATGACATTTCACACATGTCATGTGTCCTTAGGGGGTTAAATCAGACACCAAGTTTGATATAATATTATATCAGATTTACTAACAGGCTGATGGAAGAATTTCAGGCTGCATATGATATGCACAGATAGGATGTCAATAATACTGTGAAGCATGAAAACGTGTTGGCTCTGTCTATGAAAATGCTCATTGTTTTCTACTCCAAACCCTGGAACTGGGAAAACAAACAGGTAGACAAAACCATAATATACTTGAGCAGACTTACAAATTTCCAGAAGATGGCACTATAACCAAAATCCAGGGTTGTTTTTGTTTTGTTTAATTCTTTCTTTTATTGAGGCAAGGGGAAGTGCTTTACAGAGAGGAAAAAGCAAAGTGAAGAATAGCACGCAGGGCAATGGCAGTGACACATGAGTTAGATACTATGCCAAGTCATTTGTCTCTTTTTTCATTTTTGTATCATGTGTAAAACAAGCTTAACATGTCAAGTGGAACAGTATAGTTATTACTCTAAATTTAAACATGTGTGCAGGTCTGTGACTGTTAGAGTACAAGTGGAGTATAAGCATGTGCTACCTGCAGAAAATATTGGGCTATAAGCCCGAGATTAATGTTACCAGGTTATTAGCCCATGCAATCCTGGGCGAGGTGCGCTTAGTTGTAGAGTGAGTTTACAAAAATGGCTAAAATGTAGTTCCAAGGCCCCATGATGCATTATTTAAATTATTAAAAAATTTTTTTTTTTTTTTTTTTTTATTAGTGATATTGCAGAAGGTCTTGATGGTAAGGTATGTCTTTTTGCTGATGATACTAAGATATGTAACAGGGTTGATGTTCCAGGAGGGATAAGCCAAATGACAAATGATTTAGGTAAACTAGAAAAATGGACAGAATTGTGGCAACTGACATTTAATGTGGATAAGTGCAAGATAATGCATCTTGGACGTAAAAACCCAAGGGCAGAGTACAGAATATTTGATAGAGTCCTAACCTCAACAATTGAGGAAAGGGATTTAGGGGTGATTATTTCTGATGACTTAAAGGTAGGCAGACAATGTAATAGAGCAGCAGGAAATGCTAGCAGAATGCTTGGTTGTAGAGGGAGAGGTATTAGCAGTAGAAAGAGGGAAGTGCTCATGCCATTGTACAGAACACTGGTGAGACCCAGAGGAGGCGGGCTAAAAGCTAGCCGGATAGGAGGCATGTGTGGGTGTGGTGGGTGTAGGTGTCACATGTGGGGGGGGTGTCACTTAGGTTAGGGGTGGGGTGGGGTCATATAAAAGGGCAGTCATTTTGTCCCTTACCTCAGCCATCTTAGAATAACGGCTGGTAACATCTTCTTCCTCTTCCTTGCTGCCTGTTACCACTGCTTGTCTCACGGCCAGGGCATGGACATAGAATCAATTTTGTCTGCTCTCAGGGCTGAGGCCCTTCAGGATGGAGGACGTCACCTGCAGTCACAGTTGGCGCGGCTGCAGGGTGCTTCTGGGTCGGCTGCTCCCCCTCTCACCAGCCCCAGCGTCCAGCGCCGCCGTGCACGCCCCCCCCACCCGGTATAGCCCCTCGCGGGAGGGTCGGGTGAGGGGCAGGAGCAGGAGCCCTGTGGCCGGGCCGCGCACCAGTTCCCACGTGGTCGCGGCCGCCGAGGTCTCTCCCACTCCCGGCACTTCCTCCCCGAGCAGGGCTCGGGGAGGCCGGCAGGGGGCCGCGCGCCGGTCGGATGCGGCCCACGCTGCCTCACTCTCATCTCCCCAGCCGGTCTCGCGGGCTTTGCGGAGGGCGGCCGCGAGACCGGCTTTCAGCAGGTTTCCATCGACGAGATCCTCACGGATGGCGGCTCCGGTGACCTCCGGTCGGGTGAGTAAGCCGCAGGTCGGCAGGGTTGTTTCCGGGGGGGGGAGTTTGGGAGGCCCTGTTACTGCAGCGGGATCACCTCACCCTCACATCAGCTCCCCTTCTGCTTTGCCCTCCTTCCCTGCCTCTCCTGGGTCTGCTCCTGCCACCAATCCTAGTGCCCTCCAACCCACAGTGGGTGCTGGCACTTCTCCCCTGTCCTCTGTCCATGCCCCATCACCCCTCCCCTCCCCCTCACCTGCCCCCCTGGTGTCTGCACCCCTTTCCAGTACGCCTGGACCTGCCCTAGGCCCATTGTCTGCCCCATCAGCAGGCCCTCTCAGGGTGGGGGCCCATCAAGTGTTACCTGCCCCCCCTCTTCATCATCCTGGGCCCTCTATTGGTACCCTCCATTCCACCCTTCCCGGCCCTATGCCTGTTGGGGTGCCATCCGCCTCTCCAGGTACTTTTACGGCGGGTGTGGGAGGGTTGGGTTCCTTTTCACCTTTGCTTTCTTCACAGGTGGCCCCTGGTCGGGTGCGTTTTTCGGACGCTGGCGCTGGTGCTGTCCCTTCTGCAGTGACAACTCCCGTGGGTCCACTGCAACCTGGGGACCAGGTTATGGGGTCGCCGCAGCTGCCGTCACATTCCATTGTCGCTGGTGAGTACGCAGCTTTATCCGGGGGTGCTTTAAGGGGTCTTGGTGCAGGGGTCCTACCTGAGTGGGATGCTTTAATACAAACCATGAGACAATTCTTACAGTCGTTGGAGAAGGGTCATCGCCCTGGGCTCCAGCCCCCTTTAGCCCTCGATGATCAGCTGAGGTCGGGTTGGGCAGCTGCTGGTGCTTCTGACCTTTCAGGGGTGGTCGCAGGCCCCTCTGCTGCACCTGCAGGGCCCAGTGGCCCTGTTGTGCCAGTTCCTCCAGTGGCGGAACTTGAGCCATCCAAGGGATCGTCAGATGACGTCGCTGCGTCTTCGGGGTCAGGGGTCGCCCCCGCTGCGCATGGGGCCGCTTACATGTGCTGGTCAGGCCCTCTAGGTCTCCATTTGACCCCGGAATTGCGCACCAAGATAGAAAAAGGGGAATTCGTTGAAATTTTTTCCTTGCTTCCTATGGAGGATCTGCCTCGGGTTGATCCTACGGCAAAAGACTCTGAAAAGGAGAAGGAGAAGTTTAGGTATCGGAAGATACCAAAAACTTTTGGTAATTGGATTAGGGCCTTTTCGATCCTGGCGAGTGTGATAGGTGAGAAGTCCCCTAATAAATGCTCATCCCTCTTTTGCTACCAGGATACGATATGGAACGCGTGCCGGACCTATGGCGGGTTAGGCTGGTGGCGCTATGATGAACAGTTCCGCCAACGCATAGCGGTCCGCCCATCGTTGAGTTGGGACCAGATGGACATTGGCTTGTGGTTGGCCATCATGACCCGCCCGGCGTCGCATCAAGGGGGCCTCTCGTCCTTTCTTGGGGGGGCCGGCGCAGGGTCCTCGACCGCTGCGTCGGCCAATCAACGACGAACGGGTTGTTGCTGGCAGTTCAACGATGGGCAATGTAAATTCGGCGCAGGCTGTCGTTTCAAGCACGAATGTTCTGGGTGTGGCGGATCACACCCCGCCTCAAAATGCTTTAAGCGGGGCAGGCCTGGCGACAAGGGTGACGCCAT